GTGTGTCTAATGAAAGACAAAGAACACTCAAAGGTTTGAAGAAATATTACAAAAGTTAACTCCATTTTACTGCAGTGAAAGTCCTGGTATCTGTCAAGCAAGAAACAATGAAAGCATGCACTCATGCATGCTCCCAAGAGGAGCACTTGCTTAGACACAGCAGGTGCTGGTCCAAGAATACATGTTAGCTCACTTGACCTCAAAAGAAAGGCATGTTTTCACAATGAAAAAACAGATTCTGAGCAACATAAAAGACTTGCGAGGAGAACATAACAGACTTTGAAGCCCACTATCCTAACTCAGACATAGTGAGGAGGGTAAGACAACTGAGATGGAGATGTGCTGAGAATTGAAAAGTGCTTAACAGGGACCCAAGATCTAGGATGACGGGTGAGGTGTTTGTCTTCCATGCTCCTAACCATGTTTCAATCCCCAGAACCCATATGGTCCCAAGCCCATCCAAGAGAGGTCCCTGAGTGCAAGTCAGGAGTAAGCCTTGAGCATTACTGGGTGTAGCCCAAAAACAAGAATTTAAAAAAAAGGGGGTTAACTAACATAATAAATTCCTCAAATGAATCTGGAATAGGACATCACAGAGATGCTTTTCTATGTGCAGTAAATCATTGATTGGGAACGAGGGTGGAGGGTCTCTGTGCTATTTACCACATGACAAATTCAGACTCAAACAGAAAGATAGTCTCTGCTCTAACATAGCTTACATTCCAGGAGAACACACACACACACACACACACACACACACACACAATCTATAAGTAGTCAGGACAAGTAGCAGGCTGATTATAGGGCCTGAGAGGTACAGAAAGACTGAGTATGGCCAAGAGAGGCTCAGCAGGGAGAGGCAGAAAGGCTGGACAGAACCAAAACTAATGGGGTCAGTAAAGGGGTGAGTGAGTGAGACCCCGATTCACCCAGTCATAAGAAAGACAAGGGATAACCTCCAGGACCAGTAAATTGCATGGTATCTATGAGCTGTCAGAGGAGCTGAATGGGACTGGACCCAAGGAACAGAACATAGAATGGTGAAAGGAGACAGCGCTTGAGTGGGAGGTAGTATCTCAGGAAGCCCACTGAGCTTTCTAAAACATGCATGTAAAATCCCTGGGAAATGGGGGGATTTATCATTTAAATCCCATTTGTGATTTTTTACGTTTGTTTTGTTTTGGGGGGCACACCTAGCTGTGCTCGAGAGTTACTCTGGCCCTGCACACAGAAATGATGCCTGGCAGAGCTTAGGAGACCATATGGAGTATCAAGGATCAAACCCGGGTCAGCCATATGCAAGGCAAACACCCTAACCATCGTACTTCTCTCCAGCCCACCATGTGGGATTTTTTTTTTCATTTATTAAATAACTAAAGCCTTACAAGAGACAGGAAACACTACAAAAATAAAACTAAGACCAGTGGGGGATTTTAACATCTGGTGAGATGCACAATCTTGCCTGGGAATATACAATCTAAAAAAAAAAAAGCAATGATTTTCACCCTAATTGGTGAGGAAACACAATATAATACTGGGAGCATTACACTGTGAAGACTCGAAGGGATGTGTGAAAAAATTCAAATAGAGGTGACTCCAGGATGACTGTGGAATCAGGAAGTACGTTCCCCACTGGACATGCCCTCGTTGGCTCGGCAGGTACACAGCGGGCTCCTGCTGTGTGCCACAGGCATCTTACGGGAGGAGGAGAGAGAAGGCAAGGGAAGAAAGCGAGCCAGCTCAGGAGCCAGGTGCTGTGCAAGGAGTAGGGAAAACACAGAAACCAACAACTGATAAGGTACGATGTCAGGAGGCATTTAGAGCTTCAAAGAAAATATAAGTACGAGACAAGGGACAGAGTGTACAATGGGGTCTAGTACACAAAATAATCAGAAAAGAACGCCAAAGAAAGTATCAGAGCAAACTATGTAGACAAAAGCATGAGGAAGCTAGGAGAATATGAGTGTGATACTGAATAATAAGAGGCAAACAAGCCTATCGATGTGAGATGATTTATAACATCATAAAGGCAGCCTTTCAAGCACGGGCAAAGGGATGGTATAATAAAGGATACTGGCTATGCACGAGTATAAAATAACTGTAGTGGGGCTGGAGTGATAGCACAGCTGGTAGGGCGTTTGCCTTGCACGCAGCCAACCCGTGTTCGATTCCCAGCATCCCATATGGTCCCCTGAGCACTGCCAGGAGTAATTCCTGTGTGCAGAGCCAGGAGTAACCCCTGTGCACCGCCCGGTGTGACCCAAAAAGCAAAAAAAAAAAAAAAGACCAATTAAAAAAATTTTTTAAAAAGTAAAATAAATGTAGTGGGGTGGTAGGAGGGATACTGAGAACATTGGCAATGGAGAATGGGCACTAGTGTAGGGATGGGTAGCAGATCATTGTATGACTGAAACATAAGCACGAAAGGTTTTAAGTTTGTAACTGTACCTCACGCTGATTCATTAAAAAAATTTTTTTAAAAATTAGTGCACACTGCATCTTAAGACTCACAAACAGATTCTGGATAGAATCAAGACTTAAACAAAATAAGACCCCTAAGCATGGCATTGTTGTTGGGGGTTGCAAGGTGGGGGAACATTCTTTACCTTGAGAAAGAAGTCTCTCTTAAATAACAAACAAACGTAATGAACAAGGATAAAATATTTAACACAATAAAAATCAAATCTTCTATTTAACAAAAATATAATGTACAAGAGCATGGGAGAAAACAATTGCAACATACAGAAGACATGGAGTTACTACCCAGAAGATACAATAAATCCCTATAAATTCATCAGAAGACAACAATAGGAAAATGAGTAAACAAACGTGAATGGATACTCAGAGAATGCAAAAGGGCAGCAAACATACTAAGCAACAGCCCTAATCTCCAGGAGATGAAATGTAAGCCTATTTTTACAAGTTTTTAAACTAATCATACCAAGTATTACCATTGCTAAGAAAAAAAGGTCAATAGTTTGGTTATCAATAGGGCATTTATTTATCTGTCAAAACACAATCCAATGAACAAACAGCAGCACTTTTTACAACAGCCAGAATCTGGAAAAAACCTGAGTGCCCGAGAACAGATGACTGGTTAAAGAAACTTTGGTACATCTACACAATGGAGTACTATGTAGCTGTTAGAAAAGATGAAGTCATGAAATTTACATACAAGTGGTACTACATGGAAAGTATCATGTTAAATGAAATGAGTCAGAAAGAGAGGGACAGACATAGAAAGATTACATTCATCTGGGGAACATAAAGTAACAAAATAGGAGACTAACACCCAAGAGTGGCCAAGATTAGTACCAGGAATTTTGCTCCATGGCTTGGAGGCCAGCCTGGCATGCTAGGGGAAAAGGCAGCTCAGATAGAAAAGGGAGCACCAACTAAAGGATGATGGGAGGATCCTCTCAGGATGGGAGATCCATGCTGAGAGTGGACTGTGGACCGAACATGATTGCCACTCAATGCCTCTTTTGCAAACCACAACACCCAAAAGGAGAGAGAGAACAGAGGGGAATGCCCTGCCACAGAGGCAGGGTGGGCTTGGGGGGGGGGGGATGATGGTGGGAAATGGGCACTGGTGGAGAGATGGGTATTTGATCATTGTATAATTGAAACCCAAGCACAAAATTTGTAAGTCTACAATTGTACCTCATGGTGTCTCACTAATAAAAAAATTTAAAAAACACAATCCACATCTAAATACCTACACCAAAATAAAAGAGGGGTACATAAACGATGCCTTCCATCTTTTCTGCAAGAAAATCTAGTCTTTACCATCTCAGTTCTCAGTATGAAGGACGAGACCCATATGCCTATTAAGTACAGGCTCATTAAATACAACCAAACCAAGCCTGAAACATCAGTATTAAAATTTTGGATGGTGAGGTGAGAAAAGGAAAATTCAAAATAGTTCCTTGTAATTCATTATTTATCTTAATTATAATCTCAACAGAACCATGACAAGACTGTCCAAGGAGCCAGTAGTAAATTAAACAAAAGAACTTCTCTACACAATCTCCTGGGATGCATGTCAATCAATAGCTTATGATGAATCAGTGATTTTTGACAAGTATTCTTAGATTTGGGCTGGAGCAATAGCACAGCGGGTAGAGTGTTTACCTTGAATGCAGCCAACATGGCTGACCCGAGTTCAATTCCTCCACCCCTCTTGGAGAGCCCGGCAAACTACCGAGAGTATCTCTCCAGCATGGCAAAGCCTGGCAAGCTACCCATGGCATGTTCGATATGCCAAACACAGTAACAACCAAGTCTCACAATGGAGACGTTACTGGGCCCGCTCAAGAAAATCAATGAACAACGGGAGGACAGTGACAGATGACAGTGATTCTTAGATTTGTATTTCTGTGATTACTGTAATACTTCTCTGACAAAAATATACATAGACATTTTTCAAAAACCTTGTGCTTACAGGGGCCAGATACAGTACAGTGGGTAAGGCACTTGCCTTGCATGTAGCTGACCCAGATTTGATCCCGGGCACCACATATATCCCTCTGAGCCCTGCCAGGAGAGAGTCCCAAGCCCCCCATTCTCAAAATAGAGTACAAAAATGGTGGATACAGTAGAAAGTCAAAACTAAATAGCGCAGTAGGCAGCGCGTCAGTCTCATAATCAAATAAGTCAAACATCAAAAATAAATTACATGACTGCTTATCTCTATTTAAACAAACTTGAATTACAGTCTCTGTTCAAGCAAACTTCAATAAATTAATTATTGATCTAATTACAACTGGTTTTTGTCATAAAAAAAATTAATCACAGAGTTTAAAGTTACCTACTGCTAGCTCTCACGTGGTTTATCCAGGCACATATTATCATCCTAGGGACTAATGATTTGTTGTTCAGGGAAGACTGTTTACTTCTATTGTTTATCATACTTTCCATTCTCATTTGATAACATAAAGTGCCAGAAAGGCAAAACACAGAACATTTCAAATCCAGGAATTCCGATCATCAAGACTTACCTTAATAGTTAAAGTGAGTGTATACCAGTTTTTTTCTGTAACATCAACATGCCCGGAAGTATATATGATCCACCCAGCTGCAACACAAGAAGATTATAAACTTACATAACTTGATTATATAAGTTAATGTTGTTAACAATGCTTTTTTACATCTAAACATAAAACCATGTAACTCTGTGGGGATTAACAGGTGACATTTGTATATAGTAAAGTCAGTCTAAATGAACAACTACATCCCTTCATTTTTAAATCTTTTATTTTTTAATTTAAAAAAGAAACCCTTTGTGGCACAGGTAGTCAGCAAAGCACAAGAAAGTGTGAAAGTCAAAATGAAAAAATTACTCGTCAGAAATGACACAAAAGAAGAATACAGTAGGTGATACATTTTTTAAAAAGTCAACAGAAGCTCTGAGTAGCAGAATAACAGGAGCTGAGCCAAAGCTTGAGGAGCTCCAAGATGAGAAGGAAGAAACCACTAGGAAACAACAGAAACTAGAAAACAGTCTGAAAATAAATGAACAGCAAACTATGGGGTGAGTTCAAGGAGAACAATATAAGAATCACTGGGATCCCTGAATAACAGAGTGCAAATGTAATTAATAAATCATAGTTAATTGCTTGTTCATTGCAGCACTCTTTACAATAGCCAGAAACTGGAAGAAACTTGAATGCCCAAGAACAGATGACTGGTTAAAGAAACTTTGGTACATCTACACAATGGAGTACTATGTAGCTGTTAGAAAAGATGAAGTCATGAAATTTACATACAAGAGGTACAACATGGAAAGTATCATGCTAAGCGAAATGAGTCAGAAAGAGAGGGATAGACATAGAAAGATTGCATTCATCTGGGGGATATAAAGTAACAAATATGAGATTAATACCCAAGAATAGCTGAGATCAGCACCAGGAGGATTACTCCATAGCTTAGAGGCCAGCCAGGCATTCTAGGGGAAAGGGCAGCTCAGATAGAGAAGGGAGCACCAAATAAAGGGTGTTTGGAGGATCCTCCCAGGAGGGGAGATGCATGTTGAAAGTATACTATGGACTGAACATGATTGCCACTCAATGCCTCTTTTGCAGACCACAACAACCAAAAGGAGAGAGAGAACAGAAGGGATTGCCCTGCCACAGAGGCAGGGTGGGATGGGGGGGATGGGGGTGGAGGGGATATTATCCATGGTGGTGGAAAATGGGCACTGGTGGAGGGATGGGTATTTGATCATTGTATTATCGAAACCCAAGCACAAAAAATGTAAATCTACAACTGTACCTCATGGTGTTTCACTAATAATTTATATATATATATATATGAAATCATAGTTAAAACATCTATAAGAACTTTCCAGAGTTGAGGATTATAGGCAACGAGACCCAAGAGGCCTGAGGGGTCCCAGTGAAAATAGACCCAATTAGGAAAACTCCAAGACACATTACACTCAAAATGGACAAAAATCTAAAAATAGAGACAGACTAGTGAATGCAGCACAGTAACTTATATACATAGGTACATAGTAAAGACCACAGACGCACAGATCTATCAAATGGGACTCTGGGAGTCAGAAGAATATGGGAGACTAGGGCACAAAAACTCAACAAAATAAACCCTCACCAAGAATACTCTATCCAACTAGATTATCATTCATATTTGAAGGAACTATACACAACTTCACGGACAGGGAACACAGACAGGCAACAGGAATTTGTATCCTTGAAACCAGATTTGCAAGAATCGTTCAAAGAGCTCCTTTAAAGGACAGGAGAAATTTTCCATCATGTGGCATTGATTACATTGAGCCAGGTTCGATTCTTCCACTCCTCTTGGAGAGCCCAGCAAACTACCAAGAGTACCTTGCCCTCATGGCAAAGCCTGGCAAGCTCCCCATGACGCAATCGATATGCCAAACACAGTAACAACGAGTGTCATAATGGAGACGTTACTGGGACCACTCGAATAAATAGATGAACAATGGGAGGATAGTGATAGTGATAGTAATAGTGGCATTGAGTATTGCACTCACGAATGATGCATATGGTTGGTCTCTACTAGATTAAGAAAGGTTAAAAACATATAGCACATAATTATCACAAATTGACTTCCATTGGTTTATTTTCTGATTATTTTATTTGCCATTCCTTTAAGTTTTATTAGGCCAACTAATATGAAATAAATGTTATATGCCTGCCAAGAGGACAGGCTGGAGATGGGAGGGAACCAGGGGATATTGGTTGGTAAAGGGAAGAAGACATTGGTGGTGGGATTGGTGTTGGAACATTGTGTGGCTGAAATAACTACACTATGAACAACTCTGAAAATCACAGTGTCTTAATAAACATAGCTGGGGAAAAAAAGTCCTTCATTCAGGCATGCACTCAACAAGTACTGTGACCCAAACACTACATGTGAGTAGACCAAAGAGCTAGAAAAATAGACTGACAAACCAACCAGAGCATAATGTTCTCAAAGCTACAGTTCAGATATATATTTATACCTGTAGACTTGAACATGACAGATAAGGAATAGCCAAACATGACCACAGGCATCCCAGCTAGTGCAAATGGTTACAAGGTAATATTATCAATAACTGAAAATACTGTAGCATGGTAGCACTGTCGTCCTGTTGTTCATCGATTTGCTTGAGTGGGCACCAGTAATGTCTCTACTGTGAGACTTGTTGTTACTGGTTTTGGCATTTCGAATACACCACTGGTAGCTTGCCAGGCTCTGCCGTGTGGGTGGGATACTCTCAGAAGCTGCCAGGCTCTTTGAGAGGGACAGAGGAATCTAACCCAGGTCGGTCACTACAAGGCAAATGCACTACCTGCAGTACTATCACTCCAGCCCAACAGATAATACAGTGGAAAAAAATGAGGGGGCACTTTTTTCACTTTTGCATTTCAGATCTGAAACCATAAGTGAAACTCTGCTTTAGATGAATCATCTTAAAAATCCCATTCTTTACCTCAACTGAATCTAAACAGACTTAGGACAATAATATAATTCTGCAATTCCTACTCCAATATCCTTGCTAGAACAGGGTTTCTAAAACCTTTTCCACTCAAGATTTCTTTAACATAGGACATTTTTATGCAAACTGGGGTATAGAAGTAAATAAAAAATAGGTCTATAAATGTCCTCATCAATTTTAATTTTTATTTATAAATCCCTTTCATGTGAGAAAGAGGCAAAGTTTTAAGAAAAAATAGCAAATTATGAAAAAGAAGTTTTTTTTTAATCTGGAAGAAAGTCAAATGACTGAGAATCAAGAAGTCACCCCCCAAAATATCCTAGTTTAAATGCACCCCCCAAAATATCCTAGTTTGAATGAAGTGCTGTCTACCCAAAACAGAGTGAATTGTATCTGTTCTATATCAAGTATTATTCTACATGAATCAAGGCTATTCAGATGACTGAAAAAAGTCAAGCTGAATTAAGAAACGGGAGTTCTCCAATTCAAGCTCCTCAATCCCTCTCCTCTGATCTCTAGAAACACACTAGCACCATTCTTATAGTGCTGCTTTGATACGTGCTATTTCCTGAATGTTCCCTGACCATAACCCAAACTATTAAAATTCTGTCTGATAACCCTGCTCCAGTGGACAGTACCCGATCAGGCTTTGCACAAGTTCCTCATTTACGTGTTGCCTCTCAGTATGTACTAACTCCTTCATTTTGAACTGATTCTCATTTCCTATGTGTGATGAATCTCTTCTCGATTATATATACAAGCACCCTTAAGTAAAGCTCTTCCACGAATGAATGGAAGCAGAATGGCATGTTATTTAGTAAGTCAAGTGCTACAACACAGAGGTGTTCAAACTTTCCTCCTATGAACTCCTGGAGAGTGTTTCTACTGTTCTAAAGATCAGGTACAGGGCCAGACCACAAACCATGACAATGCCATGACATTAGAATAATCTCCAAGGGTGGGACCCAGACTTCCAAAAGTTTTGAGTCTGTTCAGGTGATTTCAGGAGTCCCCTGCCCCCGCACCTGGCTATCCTCACTGGGGCCCCTTGGAGGGAGTGAGTTGAGTTTCCCTCCCTGCCCCAAGCAGGGCTCCGGCAGCCGAAGACCTCCAGAACCAACCACCACCATGCTGAGACCACTCTCCGCACACATGAATGTACCAGCAGAGGAACAAAGGCATGCGGGTCCCGGGGCTGAGATCTCCAAGCCTGCTCGGATCGGGGCTGAACATCTTCCACCCAGATCCTCCAAATTCCAGTAGGCAGGGATCACACCCACCAACTGGCCCCCTGGCGCAGTGTAATCCCATCAACGGCCAAGACCCAGAGACTATAAAACCCAGCTCCCGGAATCACGCAGCCGCATTTGCAGTCGCATGACATCTTTTATCTCATTCCTACTTTGGACAAACTGGCAGGCTATCGAATGTAACCTGCCCACACACTGGCAGAGTCTGGCAAACTCCCCGTGGCATACCCAATATGCCAAATACCAGTAACAATGATGGGTCTCATACTCCTAACTCTGAAAGAGCCTTGAATATGACACTTTTTTAAAAACCTCAGGGCTAGGACGAAGGAGACGTTACTGGGGCCTGCTCGAGGCAATCGACGAATAACAAAATGGTCGTGATCGTGATCATGATCAGGTGATTTCTATTTCTTTTTTCCCTTTGGGTCACACCCAGTGATGCTTAGGGGTTACTCCTGACTCTACACTCAGGAATTACTCCTTCCTGGTGGTGCTTGGGGAACTGTATGGGGTATCGGGGATCGAATTCCGATCAGGCACATGCAAAGAAAACACCTTACCCAATGGACTCCAACCCATGTCCAGGTGATTTCAACGTGTAACCAACATGAAGAAGCAGGGCTCTAAAAGAAGTCACTTACCGAGATCACCTGTAACTTTGAAGGTGCCGTTTGCAAAGATCCAGAAGAAAACTCCTCTGGCACTTCTAACCAAAATCCCACCTTTATTTACTCTTCCCGCAATGAACACACCTCCCGTCATAGGAGTTTCTATGTACACATCACACCTTATGGTCAGATTGGACCTGCAGAACAAAACCAACGGTTAGTGCCCAACATGTCATTCCTAATGCACACCACCGTGGGATTTTAGTGGCCATGAGCTTCTAAGCCCCGCGTGAGTGGATACGAGGCTGGCTAACAGCCCTGGAGCAGGGATGCATTCTCAAAAGCGGTGATGACTTTTAAGTTTGGCTTTAAGTGTGACACAACCTGAGTCATTCCGCTGCCTCTCTTAATGAATCAACACTAGGAAATATTGACTGTTTTTTTAGTGTCCGAAGCACACATTTCTTATCTCTCTATAACAAAACAGTTTCTCCAGGAATATATTAAAAGAAAGCATTTTTGGTCGAAATCCACAAAAGGTAAGTTGACACCAAACTCTGAACCAGATGGCTTATTCGATTTTTCATCAGCAACGGGGAGCAGGTGTAGACCACTGGGAGCTGATGGGGGCGATTACTGCTTTAACCCTATGACTTATAACTTTAGAATGAGCTAAAAAGCATTTCTCGACGAGAGTTCAACTCTGCTGAGTCTATTACCGGAGTTTCACCATTTTACTCATGTGGAAAGGTGTGAAATCACCTTTCACACCTTTTTTCCCTTTGGGTCACACCCAGTGATGCTTAGGGGTTACTCCTGACTCTACACTCAGTAAAATGGTGAAACTCCGGTAATAGACTCAGCAGAGTTGAACTCTCATCGAGAAATGCTTTTTAGCTCATTCTAAAGTTATAAGTCATAGGGTTAAAGGAAAGGTTGAACATGGGCCCCCACGCCTCCAGCTGACTCACGGTGGCCCTGAATGTGACAACACTAATGGGCCCTAGGACACTTTTGCTCCACTTTTGTAGCGTCAATCTCACTTCTTATATACCCCCAGACTCCTTTCTGGCTCATCAGAAACAGAAAAAAAAAAAAAACTCTATAGATTACTGTCAGCACCAGAAACTTAGAGTTAGAATGAGAGCAGAGCAACTTTTCTCACTTACATCACATTGACAGGTAAGTAATTCGGCATCAGAACTCGCAGGTACCTGCGGGACTCCCCATTCCCTGCTTTCTTTTCCCCACAATACGTGGATATTGCAGTCAGAAAGAGAAACATGGGGTGTCTGTGGCTCTCTAAACAAATCTAGTTACTTCAAATAGAGGATAAAATATTGGGAAATAACATCTGACAAGGGAGGTGAATGGATCTGAAAGGGCATTAGAAAGCGAGCATCTAAACTCAGCTCACATTCCACAGGAGGACAGAGTCACTGCACACCCCTTAGTGATGGAGTCACATGAAGGAGGGTTTAAGAACTCTCAAACAGGGCCATAGAAATAGCACGTGGTTAATAGTACAATGGCTAATGGCACGTAGCCAATTCAGGTTCAGTGCCGGCAACACATATGTATGGTCCTCTGTGCATGACCAGGAATGATTCCTGAGCACTGCTGGGTGTGTCCCAACAACAACAAAAATAAAGATCAAACAGTCCTTTCTTGATATGCATAACTGCTGTGCCTGATTAGAAATTGATTTTTTTCCTGAATCGACTGTTCTTTCCTTCCCCCACTGCTGGTGAATATTGGATAATGCTTCAATCTTTAAGCTCTTTAAATACTATACAATCTTCAAAGTTAGGAAAAGTTTTGGCTAATCATTGAACGGTGCTCTACCTCATCCCTTTAATTAAAAAGTCTTTCAAATTTCAATCCATAAGGGAGTTTGAGTTCACAGAAAGCCTTCTGTAAACTCATGAGTTCAGGCAATAGGACATAGAAAGTTTTCTACAGTGGCTGGCTTCCAACCTAATGGTCAAAATAGGGAACCCAGAGCCAAGAAGACAGTTCAGGCGAGAGAGCTCATGTCTGGCACACTTCTATCATGTGCAAGGTCCTGAGTTAGATCCCTGCCTGACATCTAACTCTGAGCACCATCAATTGTAGTTCATAGCTGTGGTCACTAACAGAGAACCAAGGGATCAACAACGAACTATCAGGCCTGTACCATGGGCTGAATACTGCCGGAAGCCGCCCCAGTATGCCACTGAAAGTGACCCCTGTAAAAACAAATGGAACCCAACTCTTAAAGACACATGGGAACCTATCTTATAACAGGACGTTAGAAAGAAATGGGGGTGATGCTCATCAACCCCGCCGATGTGATCGGAAGAGCAAAGTGGATAAGGAGAATGGTGTTGTGGCATCCCTGAAGTGTGAAGATGCTTTCCTGAGTTAGGCTGAAACACCTCTCTCTCTCTCTCTCTCTCTCTCTCTCTCTCTCTCTCTCTCTCTCTCTCTCTCTCTCTCTCTCTCTCTCCTCCCCCCCCCCAAGATGCTATAAGGGTCTCAAAGACGTCAAATATGGAAGTTGCTCAAGATTTATACCAGAGGTTGGGGCTAGAACTGGAATTTTTAACAAGGAGCAAGGCAGTTACAGGAGGGATAAAGGCTTTCTGCAGCATTTCACTGAGAGTCATTCGACTCTTTCCAGAATTCTCCTTTCTCTCCCATCCAATTTCCAATCTACAGATCTGACTATCTGGTGGCATAGCATTAATAGTTGTTGTCACAAAACCTGGTGTGCTTATATTTTATACTTCACAGTATTATTGTGTCAGATAAAAGACTATAAAAGAAGCACCTGAAAATATGTAACTTTTTAATAGAAAAACTGTATTATACTGTAATAGGTAAGCCACATTACATAGTGACTTAAAGAGATACAGTATAAACTGGTTATTATATTTAAAGGAAAGAACAAATATAACACGTCTCCTTGACAAATGCCAAGAGAAAAGCCGAACTAACTAGACAATCACTCTTTGATTCGCATTTTATTATTGCCATCTACCGTCACTTGATAAACTGACTTCCTACAGACTAATACAGTGTAATTCTACTACAGATCCACCAGAGGGCAATATCAGACCAACAAAATCCACTCCAGTGCAACATAGAAATGACCGAATCTATTTATAAATGTTGTTATAATTCCATGCGCTTGTATAATTAAATTATAATTACATATTAAAATGAAACACTGCTGCTATGATGACCACTCATTTGTATAAATAAGATCAGGAATAAGATCAGGACTCAGGCAACAGAAGACTTTGTGAATTTGAGGTCACCGGGACACTCAACGTTTACACACCCCAAGTTCTCAGTCCGGGAGGAGCACTGAAAAGCGTCCACTTCAAAATTTATCTGACAAGAGCAAAAGGTCATTTCAGACAGACCGACATTAAAAACATGAACTGTAGGTACCATTTGTAATCGCCGATGACGCTTAGTGTGTTGTATGCATCGGCAGCCCAAGTAATCGGCCGCTGATTAAGGACTTGGCGCAGTGTGAATCGATGCTCTCCGGGGTCTTCATCGTTCGTGAAGTATTCAAACACGCCCGTCTGGTCAGCAAAATTTGGCGCTTCACTGAATTCCGGGTAATCTATTTATAAAAACAACCAATTTCATTTAGCATCAAGTTCTTACAAAATCAGTCCTGAGATTACACATTACAAACCGTTTTTTCAAGCCGTTGACATATTATATATCCAGGCAAAGTTTCTGTTTCATAGATATTGATTTTTCATCATCATTATTAAATATCAGCATGCTCAGTTTTTTATTATGATCAGTTTTATGTACAGACTTTGCAGAGTTTTAACCCATGAAAAAAAATTTTTTTTTACTTTTTTATGGGAAGCAAGGTAAGTTTCTACTGAAAGAAATTTATCCAGAAAGGTCCCAGGGGGGAGAGGAATACGTGTTCAAGAGAAAATACAGGCTTGAAAGAGCAAGTTTTAACCCATGCAACTGTCAGACAAAAGATAATGAATACTGAAGGCAGATCTGGATTCAAATTCTAGCTCCCTCTGTGCTCCCAGAAAAAGTTATATAACTGCCTTTTGTCAGTAGTTCCTTCATTTCTAAGTAAGAGGAAGACAAGAGAAGTAAAAAAGAGAAGAATTATATATTTTATGTATCGCTGGGTTCGATTCCTCCGCCCCTCTTGGAGAGTCCGGCAAGCTACTGAGAGTATCTCACCTGCACAGCAAAGCCTGGCAAGCTACCCATGACGTATTCAATATGCCAAACACAGTAACAACAAGTCTCACGATGGAGATGTTACTGGGCCCGCTCGAGCAAATCGACGAACAACGGGAGGACAGTGACAGTGACATATATAAGGAATGTGTATATAAGCCAACATCAAGTAACCAATACTTTTTTAAAATTTCTATCAAATCAGGTTTTAAATCACTAATCAAAGTCATCAGTTGTCCAATACTATAAAAAGCTTACTATATCAAGCATAGAATTTATTAAATATTACATTTTTTCTTCCATTGCTAATATGAAACAACAACTAATTTGGGACTGAAGCTATCTATCAATCTACTTTTAGATTTATTCAATTATAAACTTTCAATGATTATGTTAAAAGAAGAGAGATTTCAATCATAGGATTTCAAGCTTCATGTTTTTCCAAGTGTTTTCAAATTAATCACATTATTTGAGACATCAAGAACCCTATTAGAATAATGCTAAAGTCTGGCATATCATTTTTTTAAATTTATTTATTGAATCACCATGAGAAAAGTTACAAGCTTTCAGGTTTAAGTCTCGGTCATACAATGATCAAACACCCCTCCCCTCACCAGTAATTATTTTTCACCACCAAGAACTCCAATATATCTTCCCTCCCACCCCTCCCAATGCCTGTGAGGCAGATGATTTCTACTGAACTCTATCTCTACTTTGATTATATTATTTCGACAAAAAGATGCACCATTATTGTTTGGAATTTCCCCCCAACAATCAGACCTGCTGAAAAGGTATTGTGAAATAATTTGTTTTCTATTGGTGGTTATGAAAACCATATGATAATATCATATATGATTTTGGATTTCTGATATTTTACTAATTAAGTCTGGAGGGATTTCTGCCAAGAGCCAGTTAATAATGAGATTGGTTTCTGTGCGTCTGGTGCCATGGCCATGCTGGAGAGCCGCTCGTAGGGGCAACTCATGGCTAGGACAAGCTGGTTCTGTCCCTCTTCCCATGAGACTGCAGTTGCCCCGTCACCGCCGGCTCATACCTGGATTTCCAATAAGCTCTGAGGCGGCTGCCACCATGCTGTTGGGGGAGGGGGAGGGGGGAGAAAGGCGGAAGAGACAGACACCCTTTCCCTCCCGGGGCGGGGGCATGGTGCCATAGTTTAATGCACAGTCCATTCACATTTTTGCCGCAAGCTGCTGGTCTCTGGATTAAGTGCGAGTGCCTCTGGTGCCATGGCCGTGCCGGAGAGCCACTCGTTGGCATATCATTTTTAATTTTAGTTTTTTTTCCCCTTTTTTAAGAGCCAATAAGGCATCAAGCCTTAGAGTTGAAGCTTTAGAATTGCATTTCTTCAGAGAGTAAATTGTTTGGGGGCTACAGAAGTTTCTCAATCTCAATCACAGCCCATCTCCCACACAGACCCCTTATCTACTGCAGCAAGAAGTACCTTTGATCAGAGAAACTAAGCAATGAAGTCCTTGGGGAATCACTATTGACTGTGTTATCCCAATAACTGAGAAGACTCCAGGAGATCACAGAGCTCTTTTCCTACCCATCAGGAGATGGTTTCTCAGGAAGAGCAGCTGGGATGCCCTGGTGTGACTGGGGGCGGGGGCAGGGATTGAAGGAGGCTCTCTGTGTGACTAAGCAAGCAGCCCAGCAAGCCACAGGAAGACCCAGTGTCAAACCATAAAGCCTAAGAGTAGAGAGAGGGTATGAGGGAAACTGTCTGCCACGGAGGCAGGGTATAATACTGGGGACATTGGTGGTAGAGAATGTGCACTGATGGAGCAATGGATGTTTGATCATTATATGACTGAAACTCAAACATGAAAGCTTTGTAACTGCATCTCACGGTGATTCGATTAAAAAAAAAATGGAAGGGCCAGTCAGGGTCTCCCTCCTGACTTCTCTCCTACAGCCATGGAATAGTCCACGTAAGCCATGAGGTCCCTCATGCTACAGAACAACACCTACTAGACAAATTTCGTCACTTTCTAAGTAATCATAAGCATCATGGCCACTTCCTCTGCTGAATCCCCAATAATGAGAAGGCTGTCTATAGGCTCTAGGGCAGATCATCCCAATAAATCAGTGGAGTTAAGTCCTAGACATAGTAAGAGAGTAAATGAACTCAGTAACACAAAGAGAGCAGGTAATTCCCACTAGCTCCCATGGTACTCAGTGCACTGAGGAAGGTAGGTAGGAACACATCTAAGCCCCCCCTCAAAAGACGTGGGTCACGGTTTCATGAAATATCTACAAATCTTAATTTCAACAAAAACGAGTTTGAGATATCGTAACTTTCACTTGGTCAATAACCTCTATGCTTTCTCTGGCCCCCAAACATACTGGATCCTTGAGCATCAATTTATAGGAACACAAAATTTGGTTCTCATTTCCCATGTCCAAATTTCAAGCTAAATGAACACACGTTTCTCACACACTCCACCGTAAAACTAGCTAGACAAGTAGAAGTCTATCAACCAAGATTGCTAATAGCACTGTAGCACTGTCCTCTCACTGTTCATTGATTTGCTCGAGTGGGCACCAGTAACATCTCACAACAAATTGTGAGACTTGCTGTTACTGTTTTTGGCATACTGAATACGACACAGGTAGCTTGCAGGGGGCTTTGCTGTGTGGTAGCTTGCTGGGCTCTCAAAGAGGGGCGGAGGAATGAAACCCGGGTCGGCCATGTCAGCCATGTGCAAGGCAAACACCTTATCCGCTGTGCTATCGCTCCAGTCCAATAAAAGAAAAAAAAATAATAAAGGTAACCAAGTGATGCTTTGGTGGCGAAAAAAAAAAAAAAACTTACCCACATTGAAGTCATCTGAGTAAACACGTGGGAAGGGCTTTGATCTGGGAGGAAGCGGGTGGCTGCCTTTGCTCCCGGTCGTCAGGGTGGTCAGTGTGAACAGTTCGTCCTCTTTCAGTTCCAGGGTGAAACTAGCAGTGCTGCTGTCCAGAAGCTGAAAGAGAGGACGATGCTATACTCACGGCCTCGCTCTCGGGGCCATCTCACTTGTGCTCAGCAGCTTGGGTCTAAGTAACAGCCATGCCATTTTGTTGGAACTTCCTGACCACGTGTGAAGTTCAAGTTACCTCAAGTTCAAGTTCAATCAATCTAACAGCCAGGCCCTTGGGAGCTTTTTCCTGACGTTATTTCACTAGGGTCAGGACTATGAAATGCCTGACTTCACATGGTGGCACAGATATCATCCAAAATGGTATTACTTACCATGGGAAAGTCTATTTTATCCCCCCTCACTATGTATCAAAATTTTCTATATGGAAATAAAGACTATTCTTTTATTAGAATAAAAAGTGCTCAGTTTTTTGTTGTTTTTTTTTGGGGGGGTCACACCTGGCGATGCTCAGGGGTTACTCCTGGTTCTGCACTCAGGAATTACTCCATGTGGTGCTGGGGTACCATATGGGATGCTGGGAGTCGAACCCAGGTTGGCTGCGTGCAAGGCAAACAAACGCCCTACCCACTGTGCTATCGCTCCAGCCCCACAAAGTGCTCAGTCATTGATAGTGACAAGGTGATTCATAGAACCGTAACACAAAGCAGAAAAAGTAGAAGATTGGGTGTTCATTTAGATTAAGGAATGTACTTGTGGGGGTCAATTCATTCTCTAAGACGTTTTCTGAGAAACCACCATATGCTGAAAAGAGCGGACTAGAGCCGACACCACATTAGAGCAGACACCTTGGTGGGCTAGTAGGGCACGCCCACCCTGTCTTCAGGGTGCAGAGTGGGAAAGTTCTGACTAGACAAGCACAGTCAGCCCAAAATGGCTGTGAGCGAAGACTGTGAGGGAAAGCTTCAGGAAGGAGCATGACACAAGCTGAATCTCAAGGAGGACAGATGAAAATAAACAAGCATGTACAAAGTCAGAGAGAGGTCAACTGGCATGAGATGAGATTAGTTAGCCATGTCTCTTGACAGGAAAGCAGTCTTTAACCTCAAATTCAATCACGACGACCAGTATTCTAAGCTAAGGGATGTGAACTTACGGGAACTATCCCAGGCACTTTGCGTGACTGACTTCCCCATTCTGCATTTGAGATACATCATTCTGCAGGTTGTTTGTTTGGGGCCACACCCAGCAGAGCTCAGGGCTTTCTCCTAGCTGCATGCTCAGGAACCATTCCTGGCAGGCTCAGGGGACCATATGGGGAACCAGGGGCCAAACTTGGGTCAGCAGTGCACAAGGCCAGCGCCCTACCAGTACTACTGTGGCTTGGCCCCCTACATACATCATTCTGGTAAGCAGCGTAACAGATGGTGGCTAGGAGGAGTCAGTTTAGAGGCTGAGAAAACAGAAGACAGTTTCCAGAGCCCAGGAGAAGATAAAGAGGAACTGAAATCTAGCAGCAGCAATGCAATGACGTTCAAGAAATGGGTAATGGACATATGCAGAGAATAGATTCTACATTTGATCACGGAGTGTGTAGGAAAGTATCTTTAAATGAGCCTCAAACTTCTGATATGGGCTGTCAAATGATGGTGTGTCACCAAGAAAAATCAAACACAGAAGAACAAACACGCTATATGAACACACAAATTTCTATACTGCCTTAAAGCATATTTATATAACACTACCCTCCAAAAAAAGTTTTTAACAAACATTTCAACTATTCTTCAGCCATACATAAAATCAATCGTGAAATTTTAAATTCTTAATTTGCTCATCAAATTTCTATTCCCTGGTACTGATGCAATGCTCAAAATACAGAAATTTATTTTAAAACTACCCATATAGAATCCAGTTGATTAAAAAGATATCTCTGAGATGGTCTTCCAATTCTGGTATACCACACATGCAACTCTGGTATTTCACTCTGAGGAGAAAACACAAGAAAAGCATAGTGATTTATCATATCCTCTAAGGGTTTCCAAAATTAGGACCAACCCAAATGAACCAATGACAATGCACCCTCTCTGTTTTGGTTTACCAAAAGATTCTCCTCAAATTTTAAATAGCAACATTTGAAAAGATATTATTAAAACAAATATTTTACTTTCTATAAATTCTAAATATATATGGGGCAAATGTCAGAAAATGTTTAGAGTCTTTGCTTCAAAAATGCTCACTGTTCCTGGATAACGAGCTTTTAAGGAATTTTCTGGTATGAAAAATTATTTATTGACTTATTTGTTCTTCAAGCCCAGGTTCTACCTTGGATATGTGTTTCACTTGATTATCTCTATGCCTCTTTTCTTATTCTTTCCACTCTGGAGAAGGTAGAGTTATCTCTTGAACACATACTTCCTCTTTTTCTCTCCCTACCCATCCTTTTAAGTTTTTGTTCAATAAAAATTATCTTGCTTCTGCTGAAAGTAGACTACAGACCAAACATGATTGCCACTCAATGCCTCTTTTGCAAACCCAGCACCCAAAAGAAGAGAACAAAAGGGAATGCTCTGCCACAGAGGCAGGGTGGGATGGGGGGATGGGGGAAAGGGATACTGGGATCCGTGGTGGTGGGAAATGGGCACTGGTGGAGGAATGGGTATTTGATCATTGTATAATTGAAACCCAAGCACAAAAATTCACTAAAATATAAAATTTTAAAAAATTAAAAACCTAACTCTTATGCAATCTGTGATCTGAAAAGGCACTGTATTTCCTGCATTCAAATATAATCATTGGTAAAAACAGCAAAGACCCACATCTTTTATACCTTGCTTTCCATAGAGATTACCCTAAAGATTAATGCTTAAAATTTTCCCAAAGTGCATGACAACAAGAACTTTTGCCAACTCTTTTGCCAACAAGAACTTTCCTAAAAGCGACTCAAAGTGTCAAGGCTATAGGCAGAGTTTTACCTCCTACTGGTTTGTACCCTGGTTTGAGAAAAGACAGCAGGCCCCAGGAATTTTGCCTCTTTATAGGCAAACCCTTAATAGTGCTTAACCTAAATCTTCACTTCAGAACTTCTAGGCATGATAAAAATATATAAATTTTCAAATCAAAACCAAAATGTAAGTTCTATGTATTTACTTACAAAAGAACCCTTTAGAGTGAAAGTAGCAAATTGTCGGGACACGTTGAAGTAAGGAAGTAAAGGCCGGATACACCTAGAATGTTTATGGCTCTGAGGAGAAAGAAAAGTTACTAGATTATTTGAATAAAACAAAAGCATCTTAAGAAACAAAAAGTAATAATCCAATGCCTAAGACTGTACAACAACATTAAAATGTCATTCCAAATCTTAAAAACTTTTTTTAAAACTTTTTGTTTATTCTTTCTTTGTGAGTTTATTATTATTATTATTATTATTATTATTATTAGTGAAACACCATGAGGTACAGTTGTAGGCTTACAAATTTTTTGTGCTTGGGTTTCAGTTATACAATGATCAAGTACCCATACCTGCACCAGTTACCATTCTCCACCCCCACCAATGAAATTTACATACAAGTGGTACTACATGGAAAATATCATGCTAAGTGAAATGAGCCAGAAAGAGAGGGACAGACATTGAAAGACTGCATTCATCTGGGGAACGTAAAGTAACAAAATAGGAGATTAACACCCAAGAATAGCTGTGACAAATATCAAGATGTTTACCCCATGGCTTGGAGGCCAGCTTCACACTCTAGGGGTAAAGGCAGCTCAGATAAACAAGGGAGCACCAAATAAAGGGTGCTGGGAAGATCAGCCCAGGATGGGAGGTCCATGCTGAAAGTAGACTATAGACCGAACATGATTGCCACCCAATACCTCTTTGGCAAACTACAGAACCCAAAAGGAGAGAGAGAACAAAAGGGAGTGCCCTGCCACAGAGGCGGGGTGGGATGGGGGATGGGATGGGAGGGAGGGATACTGGGATTTAAAAACTTTTTGTCTAGCATAACCTTTACTGTTATAACATATACTATACCTACTCAATGATCTATAGTATTTATACTGGCTCAATCTTTGAATTAATAGCCAAATTTCAGAATCATTTCCTGGCATGGAGAGATTACATTTTATGTTATGATGATTTACTAAGTAAAAAGTATCAAACAAAAGTCAAACATGCTTTCAGTGAAAAGACTCCTCACCTAAAATATAATCTTCAAAGATACACCTAACATCAACTAAACACGTAGAACAAGTGATTCCCTATTCCAGCATCAGTTTTCACTAATTGCCAAAGGCACACTCCATTTGAATGTACTGTTTGCTTCACTGTGCATCACAAGTAGTGTGATTTTATTTTACTGGCTGAAGCTCCATCTCAATACCGTACGGAGCAAGCCTATCAAGGCCATGTGCTCACTGAGTACCACTGTGTCATATTTAATTGAGGCATATACTTTTTTATATAAAGCTATCACACTAATAAGCATGACTCATAACAACTTGGGGAGAAACCTTCAGAACCTGTAGTACACAACCTACAATGGCTCCAACGACTTGTTGTATCATTTGATAGCAAATAGTATGAGTGGGTCCTGAACATTGAGAAAAGACAGGGAGAAAAGAAGTAGAGTAACAGACTTCCCTACTGTTTCAATCACAAGTCTGGCAGAGTGATGCCAAGGCCAAATTTACAGTGAGGAGAAAATTCCACAAGTTTTATGTCCCCCTGCACGATCTTTCCCTTGTTACAACCAAGAAAGAACAAACATAAATCAGGCACAGGTTACAGTTACATGAAGTCTAGCTCATGTTACAGAGAGGTGGAGAGATGCCGGATAACCTAGTAAAGATGGTTGGTTTGGTTTTAAACCTCTCAAACATGAGGAATAGTTAGCCAGATCATGGAAAGGGCGTGGTAATACTTTAAAAAGGGAACATAGTGCACGGGGAGCTTCCTCTTGAACTCTTTGACCTGCCAATGTTCAGAGGCAGAGTCTTGGATCCTACTTGTGCAAATGGACAGAGAAAAATCAAGGAAGCCATAGGGACCAAAAGCAGCAAGTAGCAACCAGGACAGGCAGGCCACAAGCATCAGCAAACGGACAAGTGGGCCATGAAGAACAACAAGACATTGGTTGTCAAAACCAGTGAGATTCCACCTTGAACCAAGGACCAGGGACACAGGAGCAAGTGGGAGACCTGGACACAGGGCCCAGGGGATTCAAAATGACCTTCTTAAAGTTGGTAATAAACAACTGTAACTTCATAAAAACCAAGAGTTTTGAATAGTAATTTTACACACAGAACTTAAGGACCCACCATCAGTACATTGACCACAATGATTTTACCACTGCCACTAGTGCCATGAGTTCACAGTTATCATGACAACTTATGGAATAGGCTAGATATGGTCAGCATCTCAGAATTCCACTTGGGGACTAAAAGACTGGGGGAAAAAAAGGAAAGTTGGGAAGTCTAAAAGCATAAAAAGGAGCAGAGCATTGGTGTGCCTCTGTGAATCCCTATTTTCTGTGCTTGCGGGAGTGTCTTTGCTACTTTCTCTTTTTCTTAAATAAAAACTAGCTTAAAATAAAAAACTAGCTTGAGCCCCAGCTATGTGCTAGCTTCCTTTGAAATAATAATTAAATACACAAGTTATATAAATAATTAAATTAATTCTTAGAATTAAATAAATAATAATTAAATAATATTCCTTTGAACTAATCATTAAATAAAAACTAGCGTGAGCCCAGCTGTGTACTAGCTTCCTTTGAAATAATAATTCAGCTAGCTCTGAAATAATTCACCAGCAAAGTAATTAACAGAGAGGTGTGATTAACACAAAATTAACAGACAAGTGTGATTAAAAACAAAGCAAGGAAGAAAACCTTCATCCACTGTCATCTCAAATGACATACCCAAAAGTTACACCTTCAAAGGAGGAACAGATAAAGTAGAAATAAGTACGCTGAAATACTTCAATCACTGAGTAAGCAAGTAAGCCAACAGTAACAAACCTCAAATTAAAAAAGGAACCAGTACCCAGAATTATTTTAAGATACATTACATAAATATGACAATATGAAGCATTCAAAGAAATAAGAAAGTTTCACACAAAAAGCAGATAAAAGACATTTTCCTCTGAGAAACATGTTGAATAGTTAATATAAATATGTTCAAAGAAATAAAGAAAACAAGATTTTAAAGAGGAAATGGAAGGTATCACAATGTCGCATGAAGGAGACATCTCTTACAGAGGAACTTCAATAAGACGTAAGAGTGGATTTATCAGAAACAATGTAAAATCACACATTAAACTGTTGAGAGAAAAAGCTTTGAATAAAGAATACTGCACCCAAAAGGCAGAACTGCAGACCAGTGGACCAGGGTTGAATACACTGACATCTCCCCTCAATCATATGATCATCTAATCTTTGATAAAGGTGCAAGTAATGTGAAGTGGAGTAAGCAAAGCCTCTTTAACAAATTGTGCTGGCATCACTGGACGGCTACATGCAAAAAAATAGGCTCAGAACTCTGCCTAACACTGTGTACAAAAGTAAGATCAAAATGGATTAAAGACCTCAACATCAGACCAGAAACCATAAGGTACATTGAAGACAAAGTTGGCAAAACCCTCCATGACATTGAAGCTAATGGTATCTTTAAAGATGCCACACCACTGGCCGAGCAAGTGAAAACAGAGATAGATAAATGGGACTATCTTAAACTAAGAAGCTTCTGCACCTCCAAAGAAACAGTGACCAAAATACAAAGACAGCCTACAGAATGGGAAAAGATAGTCGCTGAATACACATCTGACAAGGGGTTGATATCCAGGATATACAAAATACTGGTTAAACTCCACAAGAAGAAAACATCCAACCCCATCCAAAAATGGGGCAATGAAATGAACAGAAATTTTCTCAAAGAAGAAATCCGAATGGCAAAAAAGCACACGAGAAAATGCTCTACATCATTAATCATCAGGGAGATGCAGATCAAAACCACAATGAGATACCATCTCACACCTCAGAGACTGGCCCACATTCAAAAGAACAAAAGCAACCGATGCTGGTGCGGATGTGGCGAGAAAGGGACACTCCTTCACTGTTGATGGGAATGTCGACTGGTTCAGCCCTTCTGGAAAACAGTATGGACGATTCTCAAAAAATTAGAAATTGAGCTCCCATTTGACCCAGCAATACCACTCCTGGGAATATATCCCAGAGAGACAAAAATGTATAGTCAAAGTGACATCTGCACTTGTTTGTTCACTGCAGCACTCTTTACAATAGCCAGAAACTGGAAGAAACCTGAATGCCCAAGAACAGATGACTGGTTAAAGAAACTTTGGTACATCTACACAATGGAGTACTATGTAGCTGTTAGAAAAGATGAAGTCATGAAATTTACATACAAGTGGTACAACATGAAAAGTATCATGCTAAGCGAAATGAGTCAGAAAGAGAGGGATAGACATAGAAAGATTGCATTCATCTGGGGGATATAAAGTAACAAAATATGAGATTAATACCCAAGAATAGCTGAGATCAGCACCAGGAGGATTACTCCATAGTTTAGTGACCAGCTGGGCATTCTAGAGGAAAGTGTGAAACTCTCATAAGGATAGACATGAAAATGAGTAGAATATAATTGAGAATCTAGGAGAACCAGACCCTCACATTTATTACCAATTGACTTTCAACAAAAGAACAAAGACAATTCAGTATAGAACAGTCAACAAATGGTGTAGGGATAACTAGGCAGAAACTTGCAGGAAAAAAAGAAGAAAAAGCTAGATATGAAAATAAGAAATGTAAATATGCTTATCATGCAACAGTTATGCTTCAGTAAAGTTTATCCGGTCAGCTGTACCCTATGCTTGTTTTCCCAATACTAACAGAGTCAGTTTCCCATAACAGCAACAAATAATTACCATAGTTTCAATGATGATGGTAAGGTTACCTAAGCCATCAGTCAGAGCTACATAGCTTCCTCCTTTTTCTAAGTGGCCAACTGTCTTCAGGTAACGCCAACCTGGTTGAGTAAACTGAGTGGTATGAGCTATAGAAAAGAAGAAAAAGACTCAAATAAGATGAAAATAATGATAACAGAACTTCTTTAAAAAAATAAACTAAAGTCATACTTATTATTAATACATATGACTGAAACTAATAAGAAATATGTTACTTAAGAGGAAACTGTTTGGGGCTAGAGCGATAGCACAGCGGGTAGGGCGTTTGCCTTGCACGCAGCCAACATGACTGACACAGGTTCAATTCCCAGCACCCCATATGGTCCCCCGAGCACAGCCAGGAGCAATTCCTGAGTGCATGAGCCAGGAGTAACCCCTGAGCATCGCCGGGTGTGACCCAAAAAGCAAAAAAAAAAAAAAGTTTGCTAATTGCATGTTTCAACTTTTTAATAGTCGGTCCAGTTAACTAGTACACATGCAGAGATTCTTAAAATGCCTAGTAAAAATAATGAATCATGCTGTCAGCTGAAGAATAGCCTTGTTTTGTACAAGAGTAAATAAAATTATCCCCCTCTTAATATTTGTTCAGCTCTATTTAATCCATCTTAATATAACTATAAATAAAACAGAAAGTTAACAATGCATTTCAAAATGAATCTACATGCTTTTAAACAAATTATTTCTTTCCTCTCCAAAGCTAGTCTCAAAATGCACTAAGAAAATTACATGTTCCCACTCTAACCTACCCCCCAAAAAAAAGAGAAAATATTTTTCAGATTTCCACTCATTTGGCCTACTGCTTCCTTTTCAGAAAAAAAAATCAATCAGCATCCCCCTAAAAATATACCATCTCTAAGTGAATAAACAGAAAGTTACCCAAATTGCATCTAAGGCTATTAACACACACACACACACACACACACACACACACACACACACATACACATTTTGAACCACTTTCACTTCAGAAAATAGTGATCTAAATAATGTAGGAACAAGTTTCAATATTTAAAGATGTACAAGTACAAATTATATTTTCATATTTTTGCAAGAACTTAAGGAGTTTAGAATAATGCCATTTTATATATATACACACATATATGTAATTAAGGTTAAAATTACTAATGTCTGAGAAAAACACACTAATTAGAAAAGAAAATCACAAAAAAGTTAAGATTAAAATTAAAACAAATTTGTTTCTGAACACTATTTTTCTGTCAGCATCCCACTTTTAAAAACACTTATAGTAGGACTGTAATTAAACAGTTTAAAAAGTGCCTATATATGTTTAATATTTTTTTTTAAAAAATGTAGAACTTGAATATGTGTCAACAGCAAGATTCTTATAAAACAGCGGCAGATCTTGCTTAGCATGGAGACTACATATATTTAAAATTTTCCATATGGGTGGATGCACACACACAAACACATGTGCACGCACGCACACACACACACACACACACACACACACAAATACATGCGCGTACATATATGCGATCTGCTCATTTCCTTCTAAAGTATTTTCTGCTCTTACCATCAGAGAGGGATTTTGAGAGTAACAGATGGAATCTGCACCATACCTGATACCCAGATAGGAGCTTGTACTACGTAATGCCCACTCCATGGCTCCTGGGCAGTCATCAAGCCACACTGCCCATAGGGCAAATGGTCATAGTAACTAGCCACCAAATTCCAAGCAATTGTCCTAGAGGATTTATTCAGTGAAAAAGAAACATGAGAACAGTTTGTGACAGAAAGCACATACATAAAAATCTGTAGCAAAACGTCATTACCAGAATTTATAAACATATACTTAAGTGACAAAAGAATGACCACCCCAAACAAAAATATGTAAGTTACCTAAGTTTATTCGTATTTTGAAAAATCCAATATTGAGTGCATCTAGATATTTTGAAGGGCAAGTCTTTTAATAAAATATACAAATTTGGGGGCTGGAGCAGTAGCACAACAGGTAGGTCATTTGCCCTGCACGTGGTCAACCCGGGTTCGATTCCCAGCATCCCATGTGGTTCCCTGCACACCACCAGGAGTGGTTCCAGAGTGCATGAGCCAGGAATGACCCCTGTGCATCACTGGGTATGACCCAAAAAGAAAAAAAAATTTACTAAACAAGACATAGCTAGGAGATGAATCATGCTCTACCTCTACCAGACTAAATTAAATTAAATTGCTGAATCAAATACAAACAAGGGCTGTTTCCACACCTGATTTCCTTCTGAGAATCAGTCTCCTTACATGCCCCAGGTTTCATAATATAATATTATGAATCTGACTCTGAGCTGTTGCAAAGTTTTACAATTGAGAACAATTACAATTAAGAGTCAGAATGCTGGGGCTGGAGCAATAGCACAGCACGTAGGGCATTTGCCTTGTACGCAGCTGACCTGGGTTAGATTCCAGCATCCCATATAGTCCCCTGAGCACTGCCAGAAGGAATTACTAAGTGCAGATTCAAGAGTAACCCCTGAGCATCATTGAATGTAACCCAAAAAGAAAAAAAAAAGTAAGACTGCCTGGGTTCAAACCATGGTCCCTCCACTTAACCTCTCTGGGCCTCGATTTCCGCATCGTAAAATGGGGATAATAGTTGCACCTAGCCCCTGTGACCTTGGTGAGGAGTAAATGTACTAATGCATATCTGATGCATCTGAAGAGGACAGCCCAAGGAGGGGACTGTGGCACTACTATAACTGTTCCATCTACAAGTAGGAATTGGATGAGCTCGCTGGTCTGTGTTTTGTCCCATTCTTTCAGATACCCAGGAGTCCTGAACCATCAATTACAGCCCCGTACAGTTCTCAGGAAACAATCAAGAGCAAAATGGAAGCTTGGCTCTGCTGGGCTCTCACAGCTTAAACAATAAGCCAGAATTTAAACACAGAATTTTATTTTTCTTATCATAGCCTCACCAGTCATCAAATGAAAGAGTGACACTCTTAAATCATCAAAGATTCCAATTGTGTCAGCAAAAAGTACAAATAGTTTCAAGTTTCAATATTCTTACACCAGTGAAAGTTTTTTTTAAGTTCTCATTATTTACCCAGGAATCGAGAAATGCATGATACCCTCACAGTGTCCCCTGCAAACTGGTTCATAGCTTTTTGTGAAAAAAAAAAAAAAACCAGGGGGCGTTTTATATAGATCCGGAGAGAGAGAACAGCAGGTAGGGCACTTGCCTTGCATGCAGCCAACTTGAGTCTGCACCCTACCAGCCCAGATAGTCTCCCAAGCCCACCAGGAGTGATTTCTGTCCAGATCTATGAGTGAGCCCCTACTACTGCTTGGTATGGTTAAAAAGACAAAATAAAGCAAAATTAAATTAAAAGATTGACATTTTGGGGCACAATTAAGAAATTTTTCATTTAGACTGGATATTAGAAATACTTTTTAAAATTCTTGGGCATCAAAATATTGCCATCACATGGGAGAATATCCTTGTTCTAGAGCAAATGCTAAAATATTTAGAGACAAAGTGACAAAAATCTGCCATTTGCTTTATAATTATTTGTTTATATACATCCATATCACTAGTCAGTCATAGATTTATGAATTTTTTATAGATAACTAGATCTCTAGAAGTCTGACTTATTTCAATACCAACTACAAATAGTGAAAACTAAATATACGGTCTATATGAGGCTGATAAGGCAAAATGTTTACAATAATTGAATCTAGGCTATGAACTTATTAAATATCAGCATGCATTGTTCTATTTAGCAAGTTAAACTTTTCAAAACAAAAACCCATAGGAGTTTTTAATTACGTACGCTGTCATATAACCATTGACGTAATTCTGATTCAATATGCGAGCCCAGCAGCCTGCACCCACATCATCATTCACGGTGCTAAAATCTTCAGAGGACCAAAGCTTCTTCTTCGTCAGTCTTGCATCCATTACTGAACGGGTCCCAGGGTAATGAGCTCTAAAAAAAAAAAAAAAAAAAAAAAAAGGGCAAGAGAAGTGAGAAAATGGAATTTATATGTCTTTATTAAAGGAATAAAAATAAATGTCTTGGGGCTGGAGCAATAGCACAGAGGGTAGGGTGTTTGCCTTGCATACAGCCAACTCGGGGTTTGATTCCCAGTATCCCATATGGTCTCCTGAGCACCACCAGGAGTAATTCCTGAGTGCAGAGCTAGGGGTAATCCCTGTGGATCATCTGATGTGACACAAAAAGCAAAAACTAAATAAATAAATAATGTCTTCCCCAAGGTCTTTGTATTTCAAAACAATGAACAGTTTCCAGGACTGTATCGGATTGACCTGTAACCCCGGCATCCCATTTATGTATCCCAGATGCCCATAAAATGAGATAAACGTGTATGACAGACAGAATGGGAAGGAAGATCCATGGAAGAGAAGTTCCCTTCTGTTCCTGGAAGCCACAAAATGATAAATGTTTCCATTTACATAACTCTTCTTGCAAAAAGTACTTAAGCCTAAAGCATGCCTCTACAAAATCTTCAGTAAGAAACAAGTGACCGATACAATTTCTTTCACAAATCAAAGTGGGTGGGAGTAAGACAAACTAATAACCGAAAGACTAGAAGAGACTTAATGATCAACCTATCACAATGACTTTAGGTTGGATCCAGATTCAATTATAAAAAACTGAAACACGTTCTTCACATATTTTTAGATATAACAGTGACGTGGTTTGTGGTAGAAAGAAAAAGGATGTTATTGTTAGGAATACCTAGCAATATGTCTATAGAAAAAAAAAAGAATATAGTATCAGGGATTTGCTTCAGAATAATGCAGAATGGATAAGTAGATAGGAATATGGACAATCGGCCACTGGCTCAGAGTTATGAAGCCCTAGTGATGGGAACATGGATATTCAATATTTTCTTTTTAACATATTCAAATCTCTCAGACACACACAAATCACAAATCACAAATCATCCTGTTAATCGTCGATTGCCTCGAGCAGGCCCCAGTAACGTCTCCTTCATCCTAGCCCTGAGATTATATTCAAGGCTCTTTAGGAGAATGAGACCCATCATTGTTACTGGTATTTGGCATATTGGGTACGCCACAGGGAGTTTGCCAGACTCTGCCGTGTGGGCAGGCTACCGAATGTAGCCTGCCAGTTTGTCCAAAGTAGGAATGAGATAATAAGATGTAATAATAAGATGTCTCCTGCTCCCGCGCCTGACTGTCCTCGCCGCCGGGGCCCCTTGGAGGGGAGCGGGTTGAGCTTTCCTCACCGCCCCGACCAGGGCTCCGGTAGCCAAAGACCTCCAGGACCAGCCACCACCATGCTGAGACCACTCTCCGCACACATGAAGGTACTGGCAGAGGGACACACACAAAAATAAATATTGAGTGGAACTAGGAAAATAAAGAACAAATGCCACACATAATGTGTATCTTATTTTTAACTGTTTCATTGTGATAAAAAGAAATAATATACACATATATGTGTGGGCAAGATCCACAAAAGGAGAACTGGATGAAAAGAAGGATGAAAGAGACACTGCCCTAGAAACATGGCAGAAGGATGGCCAGTGACCTTACGAAATACCTATGTGGTCATGCGAGAACCATAGGAACTATATCATCGTCCCTTTGTAATTTCTAAAATTAAATACTGCTGCAGGGGCTGGGGTGATAGCACAGTGGGTAGGGGGTTTGCCTTGCACATGGCCGACCCGGGTTTGACTCCAAGCATCCCATATGGTCCCCTGAGTACCACCAGGAGTAATTCATGAGTGCATGAGCCAGGAGTAAGCCCTGTGCATTGCCAGCTGTGACCCAAAAAGCAAAAACATAAAATAAAATAAAGTAAGTACTGCTCTACCCCTGAATGTAAACAGAGTCACGCCACATTTCTCCAAACATTACCATATTTTTTTTAAGTTCCCAGTACATTTCACCATATTAGCAATACAAACATCTCTAAGAAAAAGATAGGGAATGACAGCTTAGCATGCTTTAGTTGAGAAGGAAAAAACAAGGACAAGTTATTACCCAGAGCAGACAACCAGAAACTATTAGTCACTAGAGTGAAACATTCCTTACCCTATAACATCAACCACTTCAAAGAGTTTAGAGTCAAGCAGCATAGAGGCAGAGATAGGCTCCCAGAGGTTATCACTCGCTATGATTTTCACCTGCTGCAGACCTTGATAGTTCAGCATTCTTCTTAATACCTGCCATGGGGATAATGAGAACGTAAGAATGGTTACAAGTGAGTTTAAGCTTTTTCACACGAAAAATTCCTTCTTCTCCTTAGAAAGGAACTGAACCAAATTTGCACCTATCACTACAACTATACCTAGTTCTTTCAGTGCTATTTCTTGATCACATCTATGACTTCTTACTTTTTCATATAGGATGCTTTCAAATAACACTCCCAAATATGTACACCTCTATAAATTTTTATAAATAACTTTCCATCCCAAAGTCAGTATGAATAGCAATGTTCTCTGAGCTAAATTTTAACTAAAACTTTTTCAAAGGTTGTGTTTGTTGTGGAAAAGGCTTAACTAGAAAGTTGCTTATAAAATAAGGAATATTTTCATAAGAATTTCACACAAGGGGCCGGAGTGATAGGACAGCAGGGAGGGCATTTGCCTTGTAAGTGGCCAACCCGGGTTCAATCTCCGGCATCCCATAGGGTTCCCCAAGCACACTGCCAGGAGTAATTCCTGAGTGCAAAGCCAGGAGTCAGCCCTGAGCATCGCTGGGTGTGACCCAAAAAGAAAAAAAAAATCACACAACCATCTGCATCCACCACTGTCATGATTGGTGATTATGACAATAATAGAGTAAGATTCATGATTCTATTATTTCCCAGGGCTATCTTACAATGTTATATAACATATGTATTCATCAAGCTTACCAAACACTACATTCACCTACCATTACCCAACTCTCTCTGGTGGATATTTTACCAAACAGAACATGATTTCAACAGAATCTTGTTACAACAATGATAAATACATACAAAACATTTTGGGGCTCTGAGTTTTGTTACTGCAAGTAAACAAATGAAAGAGTAAAAAAAATGACAAAAACAAACACACAGTCACAGTCACAGTCACAGTCCTCCCGTTGTTCATCGATTTTGCTCGAGCGGGCCCAGTAACGTCTCCATCGTGAGACTTGATGTTACTGTGTTTGGCATATTGAATACGTCACAAGGAGCTTGCCAGGCTTTGTCGTGTGGGCTCAATACTCTCGGTAGCTTGCCGGGCTCTCCGAGAGGGGCAGAGGACTCAAACTTGGGTTGGCCATGTTGGCTGCGTGCAAGGCAAACGCCCTACCACTAAGGGTGGTGAGACAGTCCATAGATTAAGGCATTTTCCTTGTATGCGGTCAACCCTGGTTGGATCCTTGAAATTGCATATGGTCCCATGAGCACTACCAGGAGTGTGGGCCAAAACCAAACAAACTAAAAGAATAAATTACTTTGAACTGCTTAAAACATTGATAATGAGTGAATATTAGGATTATCCATGTTTCAAACTAGATAAGCTGAACTAAAAGTGCAATGGAATCAGCAATAAACTCATAACAATAAGTAACAAAATAAAAAAAATCCTCCTGTCACACACAGATCATTAGTTTGAAAGAAAAAAAAAACTCAGGTCTTAAGACTTTTAATATTTCCTTCAAGTTTAATGGTCACAGACACATACATGATTACAAAAATTTCTTCTTAATTAGCTAGGAAAGACCAACTTCGGAGATAGTAAAAGATACAGACAGAGCACTCCAAGATTTGGACCTCAAAGGCATCTTCAATAATCTGATACCATTGGAAAAGGTGACAAAATAAAAAATAAACAAGACTATATCAAATTAAAGGATTTCTGCATGATAAAAGAAACCCGGGCTAAAATTAAAAGAGAGCTAAAGTATTCTCATTCTACACATCAGATAAAACATTTATATCCAAGATATAGAAGTAACTCACAAAGGTCAAGGAAAAAAAACAAAAAAAAAAAACATCAAAAATGGGGAGAGAAAATGAACAGACACTTTTTGGAGGAAGACAGGTAGATGGTTAGTAGGCAAATGAAAAAAAAATGCTCAGAATCAGTTATCATTAAAAAAATCTAAATCAAGAGGACAATGAGATATCATCTCACACCAGTGACAATGACACATTGATCATTGTATAATTGACACCCAAGCACAAAAATTTGTAAGTCTACAACTGTACCTCATGGTGTTTCACTAATAAAAATTAAAAAATAAAAATAAATAAATGTGAAATTCTCTTCAAAAAGAAAATGAACCGGGCTGGAGTGATAGTACAGCGGGTAGGGCATCTGCTTCGCACGCAGCCAACCTGGGTTTGATTCCCAACAACCCATATGGTCCCCCGGGCACCGCCAGGAGTAATTCCTGAGTGAAAAGCCAGGAGTAATCCCTGTGCACTGCCGGGTATGACTCAAAAAGAAAACAAAACAAACAAACAAAAAAATAGTAGGAACAATCTGGGTTGGCAGGGTTGTGGTGAAAAAAGTAACTCTTATCCAATGCTGGTGGGAATGTGGTCTGGTTCAACCACTCTGGAAAACAGTATGGAGAACTCTCTATGAACTTAGAACTGAGCTGCCATATTACCCAGAAATTATACTGTTGGACATCTGTTCCCAGGACAAAAGATCTTTCATTCAAAATGCATACCATTATTCAATGCACCATTTATATGGTACAATAGCTAAAATATAAAATCAACCTAGGTGTCCAACAACAGATGAATGGATGATGAAGATATGGCATACATACATAATGGAATACTGTGTGGCCACAAAAAAAAATGAAATAATGCAGTTTATTGCAACAATGCTGGAACTCGAAGATACCATGTTGAATGATATAAGTCAGTGAAAGGACAAATGAGATGATCTCACTTCTCTGTGGTATGCAGAATAACTGAAGGAGGAAATGTAATGTAGTAAAGGGAGGGATGCCTATATCAGCCTTGACCGCAGAATATCGGGAGGAGAAAGACAGAAAAGCAAAGAAGTCAAGGGGGGAAAGACGAAGAAGAGAAAGGGAAGTAATGCGGGAACAGAGGCCAGGGTCGTTATACCGGTGATGTGGGAGAGTGGTATGAGGATATGTCCATAGCACAGGCTCAACAACATTGAAAACCTGAGATCTAAACTAACAGTGAAGAGCTCTGAAATGTGTCTGTCAAGGTGGCAGGTGGGGGCAGAGGGACATAGGAAATTGTAGAGGGAAGTTGACACTGGTGATGGGATTGGGGTTGAAATACTGCATGCCTAGAACCCAATTATCAATAACTTTTGTAAATCACCGTCCTTTAGTTTTTTGTTTGTATGTTTGTTTGTTTTTTGCTTTTTGGGTCACACCCGGCAATGCACAGGGGTTACTCCTGGCTCTGCACTCAGGAATTACCCCTGGCGATGCTCATGGGACCATAAGGGATGCTGTGAATCAGACACGTTCAAGGCAAATGCCCTACCCGCTGTGGGTATCTACATCGCTCCAGCCCCACCTTTAGTTAATTTTTAAAGATTTTAAATAAGGAAAAAATATTATCACTCTCCACTCGTAATTCCCTGTCCTCTGTACCTCCTGATGTCTTCCACAGATTATAAATATCATACGGGACTCCACACCAGGCTGTTTTCACTGGGTTGCCCCAGAGAGGGGCGGACAAGAGCCCTCACCGCCCCAAAAGACCCAGTCCCAGCAGCCGACCTCCACTACTCAAACGCCACCACGCTCCAGGCCACTTTCCAGACACATCATAAGATACTTCCCACCCATATTTTCCATAATTACCACACCATGTTGATGGAGTTCAGATAGTAAGCAACAAATCATAGAGAGAAAATATATATATATGTATATATATGTATATGTATATATGTATATATGTATATGTATATATATGTATATATATACATATATATATATATATGCCTCTTAGAGAGCCCAGCAAGCTACTAAGAGAATCCCACCCATAGGGGCAGAGCCTGGCATGCTCCCCGTGGCGTATTCAATATGCCAATATCAGTAACTATAACAGGTCTCATTCCCCTGACCCTGAAAGAACCTCCAATCGTTGAGAAAGACGAGTAAGGAGAGGCTGCTAAAATCTCAGGGCTGGGACGAATAGAGACATTACTGGAGCCTGCTCGAGTAACTCGAGGAATAACAGGATGACAGCGATACAGTAATACAATGATCTTACAGACGACAGGTGACAGAATACTGATGCACTAAAGTGGCCTGTGGCCTGCCCTATCCCCAATCTCCTCACACCCACACTCATAGCACTGGTGAATTTCCACCAACAACGGTTTTGTTTCAGTCTTATACCAGTCCCCCTGCCTTACCTCTGAGAAAGTTCCCACAACCACAGTTCTCTCACCACTTCCTGCCCAAACTGACTTGCATGGCCTGCAACGAACGGATGGTCTAACACCTCTGACCCTTCTTGGTAATAGTGTGACATAGGTAAAATGTGCTATTGCTTCAGTGACTAGTTTGTCTTTTTAATGGCCCAATGGCACATCCTTTCTCCTTTACCTATCTTCCACCTCCTGCTCTGCTCCCAAACCCTTTACCTCTTAGTCTTCACTCCCATGCACTGCCCCATCCCTGCCTGAGCAATCGGAGGCACTTCTTTCTGTATTGAGACTCCCAACTAAATGGCACCTCTTCTTTCTTTTTTTTAAATTTTTATTAGTGAAACACCATGAGGTAAGTTGCAGTCTTACAAATTTTGTGCTTGGGTTTCAGTTATACAATGATCCAGTACCCATCCCTCCACCAGTGCCCATTTCCCACCACCACTAATCCCAGTATCCCTCCCACCCCCCATGCCCCCATCCCACCCTGCCTCTGTGGCAGGGCACTCCCTTCTGTTCTCTTTCTCCTTTTGGGTGCTGTGGTTTGCAAAACAGGCATTGGGTGGCAATCATGTTCAGTCTATAGTCTACTTTCAGCATGCTACTTCCATCCTGGGCAGATCTTCCCAATACCTGTTATTTGGTGCTCCCTTCTCTATCTGAGTTGCCTTTACCCCGAGAGTGTGCAGCTGGCCTCCAAGCCATGGAGTAAACCTCCTGGTATTTATCTCAGCTATTCTTGGGTGTTAGTCTCCTATTTTGTTACTTTACGTTACCCAGATGAATGCAATCTTTCTATGTCTGTCCCTCTCTTTCTACTCATTTTGATTAGCATGATTCTTTCCATGTAGTACCACTTGTACGTAAATTTCAAGACTTCATCCTTTCTAACAGCTACATAGTACTCCATTGTATAGATGTACCAAAGTTTCTTTAACCAGTCATCTGTTCTTGGGCACTCAGGTTTTTTCCAAATTCTAGTAATTGTAAACAGTGCTACAACGAACAAACAAGAGCAGATGTCACTTCGACTATACTTTTTTGCTTCTCTGGGGTATATTCCCAGGAGTGGTATTGCTGGATCAAATGGGAGCTCAATTTCTAATTTTTTGAGAATCATCCATCCAGCCCAGGGAGATAGCATAGGGAATAAGATACTTGCCTTGCACACAGCCAACCCCATTTATATCCCCAGCACCATATATAGTTCCCCACATGCCCTTGGAAGAACCCCTGAGCACAGAACCAGGAGTAGCCTCTGTGCACCGCCAATGTGGCCCAAAACCCCAAACAAAATGAGCACTTTAAAACAACATCATAAACATTATTAAAATTTTTGTTTGAGATTTATGTCACCATAAGCAAAATAAATACGCATGCTACAGAAATATGATAGTGCTATCTGCTACTACTAATTTTTATAAAAACATACAAGAGTTATTTGCTAAAAAACTTACAGATATATTTTTAAGTTGTACAGACCTTGATATAACTGACATCAAAAGTCCTCTCATTCCAAATCTGAAAAACAAAAAGTACATATGAATTGAATTTAGCCCAGTAACTAGGATATGGAAGCACACTAAATATCTAACAAGAGAAGAATGGGGTGAGGGGAGGAAAACCAGTTACAATACATATATAGATGAATATAAAGGTAAAGGTAAAGGCCCTCCCGTTGATCGTCGATTTGCTCGAGCGGGCCCAGTAACGTCTCCATTGGAGACTTTGTTGTTACTGTGTCTGGCATATCGAATACTCTCGGTAGCTTGCCGGGCTCTCCGAGAGGGGCGGAGGAATCGAACTCGGGTTGGCCATGTTGGCCGCTTGTAAGGCGAACGCCCTACCCGCTGTGCTATCGCTCCAGCCCATATAAGGTAAATATACAAGGTACATACATAAGGTACATATATAAGGCACATATACACACTTGAATACTATTCAGCTCTAAGAACATATGAAATCTTGTAGTCAGCTGAGACATGGAATCAAAGAGTATTATGTTAAGTGAAGTAAATTAAAGGGAAAATACCAGATAATTTCATTCATCTGTGATACATAGAGAAACAAAACAAATGTATAACTGTTAAAAAAAAATGGCAAACCCATGACCTTGATTATAAAACTGAGATTCCCAAGCAGGGCTGGGGACGTGGGAAGGGAAGAAAGTGGGAAATGCAAAGCAGCACTAGAAATAATGTAAGGGCTATGGTGAGGGTACTGGGTATTTTGATGGTGGTGAGATACAGTTACGTACATCGTCTACAAACATTAACACTACTGTAAACATTTGACTTGTCTGTCTGTCTGTCCTCCCGTTCTTCATCAATTTGCTCGAGCGAGCCCAGTAACATCTCCATTATGAGACTTGTTGTTACTGTGTTTGGCATATTGAATACATCACAGGTACCTTGCCAGGCTTGGCCATGCAGGCGAGATACTCTCAGCAGTTTCCTGGGCTCTCCGAGAGGGGCAAAGGAATAGAACTCAGCTCAGCTGGGCTGGCTGCGCGCAAGGCGAACACCCTACCACTGTGCTATCGCTCCAGCCCAAACATTTGATTTAACCACAAGAAAATTTAGAAGCATGAATGTTTTTTAAGTGTCAGAAAGGATTTAAATATGGTTAAGAGGGGCTGGAGTGATAGTACAGCGGTTAGGGTGTTTGCCTTGCACGCAGCCGACCCAGGTTCGATTCCCAGCATCCCTTATGGTCCTCCGAGCACTGCCAGGAGTAATTCCTGAGTGCAGAGCCAGGAGTAACCCCTGTGCATCACTGGGTGTGACCCAAAAAGCCAAAAAATAAAATAAAATAAAAATTTAAAAAAATATACAGTTAAAATGCCACTTTTCTTATCATCACTATCATATGAAAAGACAATTATCTTAGAGAAAGTCCTGTCAGGGAATGGATGTATAAAAACACATCGTGCTTTAACTTAAAATATGACTTTTTTTATTTTTTTTGTTTTATTTTATTTTATTTTATTTTATGTTTTGTTTTATTTTATTTTTTTGGTCTTGGGGACCATATCCAGCAGTGCTCAGGGCTTATTCCTGGCTCTCTATTCAAGGACCACACGTGGCTGGTTTGGAGGACCATATGGGATTCTGGGAATAGAAGAAAATCAGTGAGCCTTAGGTGCATGTGCCATAAATCTTTTTGCTCTAGTGATACAGAAAGGAATTTCTTTTTTTTTCTTTTCTTTTTTCTTTTTGGCTTTTTTGGGTCACACCTGGCGATGCACAGGGGTTACTCCTGGCTCTGCACTCAGGAATTACCCGACAGTGCTCAGGGAACCATATGGGATGCTGGGAATCGAACCCGGTTGGCCACGTGCAAGGCAAACACCCTACCCGCTGTGCTACTGCTCCAGCCCCCAGGAAGGAATTTCTTACCAGAAGAAATGCCTCACCATAGTCTGACCAGCAAAGTGCAAGAGAAATGTGAATTACACATTATTTACCAGAAACAGATTCAAGTATTTTACTTTACCATGACAGACTACTATTCTACCCAAACTGACATGTTATCGTACTATGGGATTAAAAATACCCTAATTTGGGGGTTTAGGCAGACAGCTCAAAGGAAGGGACTGTAGGCTTTGCATGCAGGTCCCAGTCCTGCTGGGTATTGACCTTCCGCCAAATGTCTTTAAAGATCAATAACAAAATAAGAAACAAAATAAGTGTGTGTGTGTGTGTGTGTGTGTTGATACATATCTCCACTTTCAAGAAAGCTCTCAAATGCAAAGTAATTTTCAAGCATCATTTGATAAAGACCAAAAACAATCTTATTCTTGCTTCAAACTTCCTATAGTCCTGGGCTCACCCTAGTGGCCTACATCATGCTACTATTCTGCATTTTACTCCAGTCTCTCACTGAACTCAACTGTATTAATTTTGGCCAGGATACAACAGAATGACTAAAATACAGGAGAGATGAATTGACTGCTGGTTGGTATCAGGAAAATTTTAAATTCAGCTTTTAAGGGTGGTATATTAAGGAACTAAGCAGTCTAAGATGTGTGTGCTTAAGGCTTCCACGGGTACAATGCAGGCTGAAACACACCTCCAACTGCCAACAGACTGGCCTAAAAGATAAGATACCATACTTTCGCACTCTAAAATTATTTATAAGTATTAAATAAAAGTTTAAGACAAAGGTAAGCAGATTCCAAAAGTCTGGACTACCACCAGTCTGAAAGCTAAATAAGTTAGTCATGGTTTCATGTCGCTATGTGTGATTTCATTTCATTTCATTTCATCATCCTGTTAATCGTCGATTGCCTCGAGCAGGCCCCAGTAACGTCTCTTTCATCCTAGCCCTGAGATTATATTCAGGGCTCTTTAGGAGAATGAGACCCATCATTGTTACTGGTATTTGGCATATTGGGTACGCCACGGGGAGTTTGCCAGACTCTGCCCTGTGGGCAGGCTACATTCGACAGCCTGCGAGTTTGTCCAAAGTAGGAAGGATATATTATTATCTATATGATATTCTTAATATTGCTTTTGAACCTACAAAACCTAACCTATTTTATTTCTGAAACTTTCAGAAAAAGTCTGTAACTCCTGGTTTAGACAAAAGAAGACTCACAGAGCCAAATGATATTATTAGCACTAGAGAAAGAGAGGGGAATTTTGAAAGAGGAGAGATTGAGCTGGTAGGATGTCAAAAGCAAAACAACAAAATTAAAACAAACAGTTCAAAGGCAGCCAGGGGAAGTAGACACTTAGTTCAGTTTTCATAAGTAGAAAGAAGCTGGATAGGCAAAGAGGAAAAGGAAAAGGTTTTATGTAGCTCATTTATGCTGCTACCAAAAGTTTCGTGACACAAAACAGTTAGTCCACAAAGAGCAATGGAATCACATTTCTTTTAGAAATTAAAAATAAATGACCAAAGGTTAATTATGTTTTAAATATACAACTAACCCCAATATAATCAATATCCAAATCATGATAGGTCTTGGCGCCCACGATCCAGGACGTGACATAGTAGGCAGTCAAATGAAGATTTACGTAAGGCCAGTTGAAACCTTTTCCCAGCCATCCGGGGAACGACCATGGCAACCCTGCAGAGAGGAAGAAACCAGTGTGGAATGGGTTAAACGGCTCTGTTGAAGGCAAAGCAAAGTAAGGCAAAAATAACACGGACTTAGGCAAAACACATCAAAGGAAGGAATGTCGCTGTACCATGCACAAATCTCTTCTAGTCTTGGGACATCATAATTCCTTATTGACATCCAGGACTCAAGTTCCACAATTCCAAATTCTTTTTCAGAAAAATTTAAAACAGATAACGACAAAAACACTTTCCTCAGAGAGACTTATCAAGATAACCATTTAACATTCTCACCTCCTAGTATGTGACTTCAATATACAACTTTCGGTTCTCTTAAAAAAAAAAAAAAAAGAGTTCTGACAGGTTGGTATCTAACTACTTCCATGAGGGAAGTGTAACACAAATTTCTCCTTCGAGAGTATGTCTTACAAGTTGAGGCTACTCAATTAGTCAAAGCCATTAAACTTAACAAAAAGATTGTGTCCTCACATCAATATAAATGTCAATGATTCGACAGGGAAGTAATACTTCGACAAATTATATAGATCAAACAATCCACATTTCCCCAATACCCTAATTATTTTTTTGGCAGAGGACTCGCTACCAAGTGGTGTTCATGGAGCCCAGGGGCCACCCACGGTGATGCTGGCCAATCAGTGATTCAATGTGAGGGTTCTGTGGTGACAGGCATTTACCTGGGGCTACCCTGGTGGTGCTCAGGGTCCTCCAGAATGACAAGTGGTGCCTCCAGGACTATTCTCTATCAGGTGGTGACATCTGATACATGAGGCACCACATGATGTTAGGGATGGAATAGAGGTTGTCAACATGCAAGGCATGTACCTCTAGACTATGGCTCTGGCCCTCATTATTCTTTTAATGAGAAAAGAGAAATATTAAAATGACAACTCATAATCCTAATTTTGTTACTAAAGAACTATTAAACTCAACAGAATTAATAATTGTAAGGAATTACAATTCCTGTTAATGTGTGTACTACCAGCCTAATTCACCACTGAAAAAATTCAATGAAAATGACACTAATGCTTCTAAACTCAGAGGAATATATATGTTTCTCAAAAAGAAACATTCAAAGATGAGATATTTGAAACAATTAAGTGCCAAATAACATTTGGAGGATTTAGCATGTCTTTGTTAGTATCCCAGATTTTCTACATTTAAATGCCTTTGAGGCAGATTCCGTGGACAAGAATGTGCTAAAGTCAATGACGCATTTTACTGCTCAAATTACTTCCTGACTTCCTTATAAAAGTCCATTTAAAAAGAGCCCAATAACTTTTTTTTAATTTATAAAATCTTGTGTTTGTCTTTTAATTTGATGGTATGAAATGAAGTCTAAAAGGATGAAATTAAACTTTAAAACAGATCACTAGTCTCACTTAGTCTGAATGTATGTATAAACCTGTTTCAAAAAATCTAATCCATTTCATGGGATGGAGCAACAGTACAGCAGTAAAGCGCTTGCCTTGTATGCAGCCAACCTGGGTTCAATCCCCAGTACCACATACGGTTCCCTGAACCCATGAGGAGTGATCCCTGAGCACAGAAACAGGAGTTAGCCTGAGAACTGCCAAGAGTGACCCCAAAACAAAACAAAACAAAAACAAAAACACTAGTCCACTTCAAATGATGAAAACAAACCAACTGCTCTGGATGTCTGAAAGACTTCTACAAATCTGTTCACTACTCCAGGGGAATTGTGAAATAAATGATATCCCATCTGAGAAATGTCTGCTAATCCTATCACTAGTATTTCTAGATTCTCAGGTGAGACTATAGTTATTTCACAATTCTCCTGGAGCAGAATTATAATGATCCTATCACTAGAACGAAGATCTACAATGACTAGACTGTAGCTGCACTGTGAAGTATCCCAATTCTTGAAATAGTGACAACCTCACTAAGGTACAAAACCAACAAAACCAGCTTCTTTAATACCTCTTTTATAAACAGAGACTACTCTTGCATGCAATATATATTTCTGAAAATAGTTGGTGCAGACCCCATGCCAGGCTGTCTTATCTGGGCAACCAGGAGGAGAAAGGGGGAGTTCCCCTCCCTGCCCCAGTAGTGCCCCAGGCAGCCAAAAACTTCCAGAAGTGGCCACACAACATCCCATACTCTACACCACTGATGTGCCAAGAGTAGCACACCACAATTGATGGGGTTTAAAGCAGAGGGCAATACAACCATCTCCACACACTTTCCTCTATACAAAATTAATTATTTCGGTTCTGCTTTGGGGGCACAGTTTGGGATTTGGTGTGGAAACATTCAAAATACGGTGGTGGGAAGATAGAATGGTGGTGGAACTGGTGTTTGAATATTAAATGTTATAAAAATGTATATAAATCCATTGCTTTGAAAATAAAAATAAATAGTTGGCGCATACTCCAACTAAATAAATTGCATTATGTTTCTACAAAATTAGGTGAGAACTTCTGAAAGTATTTCAGCAAGACAGAAAAAAAAGAACAGAAACTGGTTCTAAATCTTTTTCTTTTTAATGATTATACCACCTTAAATCAGGGGCACAACCTCCCTAATAGACCACTGCCACGTCTTCAAGCAGGGATGTATATTCCAGGCACTGCCTAAGAATCTGACATCATATACAAGGGCAAATCAAAAAGATCATGTCTGATGCATGTTTTGCTGTGAAAACACACTAGGAATATTTCTCATATTTCAGTATTAACCTCCATTAAGGAGATTAACCAAGCTCCATTAATCTCAACACAATTCAGGAAAGTTAAATGGGACCTGGAGCCATAGTATAGCGGGCAGGGCGTTTGACTTTCATGCGGCCAAACTGGTTCGATTCCCTGCCATCTCATACAGTCCCTCCTCATGCACCCCAGGAGTGATTCCTGAGTGCAGAGTCAGGAGTGACTCCTGAGCATCGCCAGGGGTGATGCAGAAAAGCCTAAAAAAAAGCAAAACAAAAACATTAAATGAAAACAGTCAAATTCCAGCAGCATGAGAAACTTCCCATCTTACCTATGAGTGTGATATTAGGGTTCCGCTTCTTAGCTTCTTTCATTAGCCACCACTCATACCCTCGGAAATAATTCTCATCTAATGCATAGTGCATGTGGGAGGGTTCAGTGCCATCTGAATGGGAGAGAGCAAAGAGAATCTATCCATCAACAGTGCTTCATAAAGTCACACAAGAAAGTCTTCCAGTTCTGATTCTGAAGGAAGGCAAACAAAATGATTGTCTATGACTTGGGGAGGGCAGATACAAACATACAATTGCTCCTTTTTACTATCCAAAGCATCATCAATGTTTAAATTATAAAAGCGCAACTTAACATTAGAAGCTGCATTAAAAGAAGTATTATTCTCAAAATGAGCAATGGAAAATAAATTATCGAGCTTCTGCCCCTGGCAGGTAGGCTTGAATGGTGGTGGGAAATTTCTAGCAAAACATAATGCCCAAAATTAGAGAGACAGTATTGGGGAAATTGTCTGCCACAGAGGCAGGATGAGGACTGGTATATGGGTGGTGGAAAATGTGCACTGGTGGAGGGATGGGTGTTCCATCATCATATGGCTAAATCTCGAACATGAAAGCTTTGTAACTCTATCTCACGGTAATACAATTTAAAAAAAAATAATGTGGAGTTCATGCCCAATTCAATCAGCTTAATCAATGGCCGAACAAATAGCAATACTCCTACATTATTTAAAAAAATATTAAATAAATACTAAAAGAAGTATTATTCTCGTGCAATTGAAAATTTCCAGGACTACATTCTAGTTAGCTTTAGGGATCTCCGGGGTACTCAAATTGCCATCTCCACCATTAAGTTCTGAACAATTTAACTTCCAATTTCTCAATCTTGCATGTGAATCCCTGGGCTCCTAAATCCTGATTCTCAAACCAAATGCCTTGGGTCAACAGTAAACTCTGTGACATCAGGACAACAGTCTTAAGGGTAAAACAAGAATGAGTTCATTTCACCATATCCCCACTACAGGAAAATTTTTTTCCCCTGTTATATTTATTTACTTTTTGGTCTGAGGGCAGCCCAGCATAATGCTCCCAGCCCTGTGCCAGGGGTCACTCCCAGAGGTACTCAGGGAACCAGGTGTTGCCATCAATGAAACCTGCACCTCCAGAATGCAAAATAGGAGCTCAGTCCATTGAGTTATCTTTCTGGCACCTGGAAGAAGCTCATGACGAACCCTCACGAGTGTATCAATACGTGATTGACGTCAAAGTTCTTGGCTGTTATGAAAGGCATCAAGGGAAAGGGACTCTTGGCCCAATTTTCTTAAAAATAAGTACTAGAATTCATAAAAATTACCTGCTTCTGTGTGTTTACCAAACATTTCAATTCAGAAAACAAAGTTGGCAGGCATTATCAATTCTGTATCAAAAGTTCTGGTACTAACATATCTCTGTTCTCAGGCAATCATTGTGTCCTCTTATCATAGTGTGGAAACAGTTTTTGCTATAGAATTTCCATTTTGGTTCTGATTTACATTTTTCTTTGAACATAAATTAAACACTGATAATACCACATAGATATAAGTTTTGGGTATTTGCCTTGCATGCAGCCAGCCTGGCCAAGCCAGTTTCGATTCCTTCACCCCTCTCAGAGAGCCCGGCAAGCTACTGAGAGTATCTCGCCTGTGCGGCAAAGCCTGGCAAGCTCACCGTGATGTATTCAATATGCCAAACACAGTAACAACAAGTCTCACAATGGAGATGTTACTGGGCCCGCTCAAGAAAATTGATGAACAATGAAAGGACAGTGCTATAATGGAATAATGCATATTTTTCTGATTCTTTTAAAATAGTTTTTGTCAAAAGGAATTATGGAACAGCAAATAAAAAACAGCTACTAAGCAAAAGTTAGTGGGAAAAATGTTGGGATGACTCATATGCAGATATCTTAATCTTATGTTTAGATATAGGTTAAAATGTTGGGAAAACAGTCCTACCTTCCAAATATTCCTACCTGTTGTCTGTCCATCACCACCAATTTCGACTTTTAGAATATGCAAAGAGGCACCGAAGTTTGGCTGGGGAAAGAAGTAACAGTATTAGCATTTTACTGCATTGTATGAAGAAGGACAAAGTATGTCCAGAAATCACTAATTATTGCCTTTGTTTTGACAGATGAGAAAACCCAAACTTCAAATAAATAGCAACCTTATCCCCAAAGCCACTTTTATAAAATAAAAACCTAAAATGATAAAGGTGATTAATTCAACAGGTATAATTCACTAGCTTCTAAAATATCAAGATGCCATTAAGTATTTTCCATTACCTTAAAAAGATAATCCAATATTTGAGAACGATAAGGCTCTGGATAATTCACTAGAAGCCGAGACGTTGCCTTTAAAAAGAAAAAAAAAAAGGTTTTTTGAAAGTCTGAATAAAACCCAATGAGATTTTTCCATAATGCTTAACAATGGTTAAGTATACCTTGTAATGTACCAATATTTAGCTAGCTCTTGGGCAAAGCTGAGCTGTGGAAAACCATTTCCCAGGCTGTTCCTTTGTCTGCTCTTGTTATGATCAACAGCTAACACACAGGTTCGGAGCAAGAAGCAAGTTTCTCTTCCACAAACTTGACGGTTGGCTGGAAGGTGCGTCATGATCACACATGTTTCCCAAGGACCCTGACTCAGAGAGCGGTTCTAGAATTAAAATGTAGGTGCTCTACCTCAGATCGCTTGTCAGCTAAAACATCCAAGGGCCAGGATGGTAGGAGACTAAATCTTGGGTAACTTTTCCCCCTCAAGACCTTGCAGAAAAAAGTGACAAGAGCCACGCTGAAAGGAGTCACTACTTCTTGCTGGTCTTACTACGGATTCAGGAAGTGCCACTGGCCACTTTCAAGAATGACCACACAATAATCACCAAGCCAACCTGTCCTGAGGAAAGCCCTGAGTATCAAGCTCAGAATGTTTAGAAAGACAGAGATGGAGAGTGCAGGGACCAGTGGCTGAGACCCCAAAACCATGGCTGATGGACTGTGTGCACCAAGCAATCACAAAAATCAATAACTGGCCGATACTATAGCCTTCAGGAATAAGTGAAGGAAATAAGAAAGGCCCGCTTCAACATGGAACAGTGGACAGAACACAGATAACCTTGCGGTATGTATGAAAAGGCAACATACTTAACTTTAGGGCTATCCACATAGGCTACATCTAACATTCAGGGAGAACCCATATCTATCTCCCTCATACTCCTCAGAGCCACGGACACAGGGATCTACTCTCTAAACATGTTCTTAGATGAGAAAACATCTGCCAAAAGGAAAGTTTTGCTCTTAGGGTTGCTCTTTGCCCAAACTTCCCATCTCTCTTGAGGCACAAAGATTTCTTTAATATCTCACAAGTCTATTCACCCCACTATATCTATTGGGACCCCTCTCAGCTTAAATGGTATTCTAGGCTCTCCCATATTCCATCCCCCACTTTATCTGCCAAACTAAACTCCCCCAAATACTGATCATGAAACTATTCCATTTAAATATAACAATCCAGGGGAAAGAGAGATGGCTCAAAGGGCTTCAGCACAGCCCTTGCATGCTAAATGCCCTAAGTCTGAATCCCAGAGTCATATCCCCCATTCCAATACTGCTGTGTGTGACCCCCAGGTACCCTGGATCCAAGCAGGACCACTTCAATAATCCTGAATCCAAACCATTAAACCAAACAGCAGAGCTAAGAGCATTCCTGGGCCCCTAAGAATTGCTTGGGGGGGCTCATTTTTTTTAAAATAAACTTTAACGATAAGAAAAAAGAGAAACACACTTCCAAAGAGAGCTTTCTAGATAAGGTTCAAGTTGTTCACCATGTATAAAACTCTTCATCCCAGTCCTAACTCTCAACACCCCCTTATCAAATGCCACACCTTCTCTCTAGAAACACCAAATCCTTAAAAAATATATATATTATCTTTGCTCTTTCTGCTGTCTAGAATGAATGAAACACTATCATTCGGCTAATTCCAAATCATCCCTCAACCTTTAGTGCAACACCAGATCCGCAGGGAAGGAAATCACCTATTCCTCCCACTGACTTGATGACCCCGTCTCTCCTGTCAAGACTCTGCTCTAGCATCACTCTCTCTGCTGGGACTTCTCAGCCCTGTGTCTGGATCACGGCTTTACTTTTCTGTCTCACCTCTATTTTCTGTCTCCTGTGGACAGGGAGTGTCTTATTCAAATTCATATCTCAATTAATTCATCTACTCACTAAATGTATTTAATGTCTTTAAACTGACCTTTGCCCACACTAGTCCAGGCAACATAATATAAGAGGCCTCAAGTCACAGCGGTAGGGCATTTGCCTTGCATGTGGCCAGTCCGGCTGAGCCGGGTTTGATTCCTCCGCCCCTCTCGGAGAGCCTGGCAAGCTACCAAGAGTATCTCGCCCGCACGGCAAAGTCTGGCAAGCTACCCGTGACGTATTCGATATGCCAAATACAGTAACAACAAGTCTCACAATGGAGACATTACTGGGCCCGCTCGAGCAAGCTGATGAACAATGGGAGAACAGTGCTACAGTGCTACAGTGCAAGTCAGATGAAGGTTGCACTCTGATTCTATCATTCATAAGCTACATGACCAAGGTTATAGTACCTTTTTTTAATTTTTGGCTTTTGGGGTCACACCCAGCAATTCACAGGGATTACTCCTGGCTTTGCATTCAGAAATTACTCCTGGTGGTGCTCAGGGGACCATATGGGATGCTAAGAATTGAACCCAGGTCGGCCGTGTGCAAAGCAACTGCCCTTACCCGCTGTTCTATCACTCCCGTTTCAGGTCATGCTGATAGAAAATATTAAGAGGTATAGAAAGGATTTAGCATGGGAGCTGGTACATGTAATGGTCTTAGTAAAAAGCAGGCAATGCATACACAGTTGGTTTTTTTTGTTTTTGTTTTTGTTTTTAAATAAAGGCATGGTCTCAAAGACCTTAGACTCACAGTGTTGTCCCAGTATGAAGGCATGCATTCTTTACATGATTTAGCAATAGACAGGTGACTCACCTATCCTTCAGCCAAAGCAATAGATTCTGTTCATCATACCATTACACCTATACAATTTTCCAGTCTTTGGGTCATTTTACACTCCATGTACTCCTATCCTTAACAGAAAAAGAAAACATACCCCACCACCGTACTGACGGCAAGCCTATAGCCATATTCCATGCAAAGTATTAATCACTGATAAAAAAAACCGGAAGAACCACACGTGGAAATGCACCATTAAGTAATAACAAAATTACCAGTCACAATCCCTGAATAAGACCTGAAGCTGTTTAGAACCAAGCCAGGAAGAAACTTTAGTACAGAGTAGGTGGCACAAAGTCAGCTCTCAATAAATTATATGTGTTATGAAGTCAAATTGAAACAAGTTTTTTGGTTCAGGACCTCAAGGCTAATTCCTCCACACAGATCCCTAAAGCAGGATGATAAGGTAAAAGTAAAGGTAAAGGCCCTCCCATTGTTCGTCGATTTGCTCGAGCAGGCCCAGTAACGTCTCCATTGGAGACTTTGTTGTTACTGTGTTTGGCATATGGAATACATCACGGGCAGCTTGCCAGGCTCTGCCGTGCGGGAGACATACTCTCGGTAGCTTGCCGGGCTCTCCGAGAGGGGCGGAGGAATCGAACTCGGGCCGGCCATGTTGGCTGCGTGCAAGGCAAACGCCCTACCACTGTGCTATCGCCAGCCCTTTCGGCTAGTCCGAAAGTAGTGAGTGGTCGCAAAGGCAACCTAAAAGTCAACGTGCAACAAAACAAGATGATAGTAACCAAAATTAGTCAAGTGTTAGACACCAGGTTAAGTACTTTACATCTATTCTCACAGTGCTCCTACTAGGGAGGCAATATCATATGCCTAGAAAATGAAGCAGACAAATTAGGTAACATTCTTTTTTTTTTAATTCGAATCACTGTGAGATACAGTTACAAAGTTTTCATGTTTGAGTTTCAGTCATACCATGATCAAACACCCATCCCTTCACTAGTGTACATTTTCCACCACCACTGTCCCCAGTATCCCCCCACTTCCCAACCCTCCCCCTGAGTCTATGACAGACAATTTCCCCCATATTCTCTACTTTTGGGCATTATGGTTTGCAATATAGATACTGAGAGGCCATCACATTTGGTCCTTTATCTATTTTCAGCACACACATCTCCCATCCCAATTGATTCCTTCTACCATCATTGACTTAGTGATCCCTTCTCTATCCCAGCTGCCTTCTCCCCCAGCTCATGAGACAGGCTGCCAACCATGGAGCAATATTCCTGGCCCTTGTGTCTCCTGTCCTTGGCTGTCATTAAATAACATTCTTAATGCTGTAATCTGAGTGGCAGGACCTAAAAATCTGCTCTTCATTCCATAGTTTTGGGTGGGGTATGTCAGCAACACCCAGTAGACTTTGAAGCTTGCTCCTGGCTCTGTGCTCAGGGACCACTGTTGGTGGTATCTGGGCTTGAACGAGGGTCAGCTGCACACAAGGCAAAGCATCGTAACCCCTGTACTAATTCACCAGTTCCTGTTCCACATTCTTAACCACTGCTTTATATTACCTTGCCTAGAAGTTATAAATGGGAACAGTCCAAATATTTTAGTGCCACAAACTGTGGTTGGCACCAGGGACTTCACAAAGAATTTTAAATAGGTATGCAAATATCGTGTTGCAACCATTTTTATTCACACAAAGTGTTGCAACCATTCCCACTCACACAAACATAGTGTTGCATCCATTTTAAAATGAATAATTCACCAAACACAGCAACAAGAGCAATTGCAGCCTAAAAAATTAGGAAAGACCTAGTACTCTTGGTTATAATTCTCATATGAATAATCTTATAAACACATACACATATGTAAAGTAGCCAGATACATTTTTCCATCATGTTAAACACTAAATTTACTATTATAAGTATACACATAAGATCAGATATGTTTGTAGATTATTGGCTACTAGTCAAAATATTATAAAGTATTGACTGTACTGAAGTGCAGTGCACTGTCCTCCCGTTGTTCATCAATTTGCTGGAGCAGGCCCAGTAACATCTCCATTGTGAGACTTGTTATTACTGTGTTTGGCATATCGAATAAGTCACGGGGAGCTTGCCAGGCTTTGCCATGTGGGAGAGATACTCTCAGTAGCTTGCCAGGCTCTCCCAGAGGGGCGAGGAATCAAACACGGGTCAGCCCGGCCGGCCGCATGCAAGGCAAATTCCCTACCGTTTTGCTATTGCTCCAGCCTGACTATTACAAGTTTTAAACCACAAAAGGAAAAAGGAGAACAGTGATAAGGGAAAATGCATCAGCCTACCAACCCACAGGTTACCTTGAAATCTGTACCCACACTTCTGAGTGAAGTTGTAACATTAGATAATTAAAAAATGAGTGGGGAGGGGTGAGGAAAAGGATCAGTTGGGCTAGGAAAAAAAACCTTTTTCAACCAGCAGTTCAAATTGATGATCAAGCTACAGATCACCAATTACTGTAATACTAAATCCTGACAGCATGTTTTTGATTTTTGCAACATAAGCACCTGACTTAAGCTTTAATTACCAAGACGCCCACTTTAATGCTGACTATACTATCTTGACTAAAAATACTGCGGTCCGTCATAAGACTAGATAAGGAGCAAGTCCAACGGGTGATGTAGGACAGGCTAAATCTCCTTTGCTTCAGTATCACTGGTTTCCATCACTGACCATCTGGGCAACTTGATTTGTCTCCTTCTGCACTTCAAATTCTCCCTCTTACATTTTAAACCACTGAATGGTGAGTCCAGAAAATGCTCAAGTCCCACCCTTGACCAAGAAAACAGATGCCAAGCCTGCTTCTACCTGCAACCTCCTGTATGGTTCCGAGTGGTGGGATCCCAGGTGGGCCTGTGCTTTTTGAGTCCCGAAGTAGAGGTCTCCCCACCACCTCACCCCCACTTTCCTGATGGTTACAGTCAAGGGTGTCTTGTCATTTTCAAACTCCTACAAGAAGTCCAGTGACAACCGGTTATCTAGAACAGTGTTTCTCAAATCTTTTTCCAACCCCGGCCCCCTTCTGACCATGTGTTTCTGTCAAGTGGTACCCCTCTCCTACTGGTTGCCCTTCTGAGTCTCAACTGTGGCCCTTTTTGCAATATCCTGTGATGCCACAGTCTAGAATGAGAAACGCCACTAAGCTTGTAAGCTCCATTCACAGACTGAACATAGAGTTGTTCCAACAACAAGCACCCGTTCAAGAGGCCAGCTCACGCTGATTTTTACACAAAATTAGCTCTGTGATCTGAGGATCCAAAAGAAGAGAATCCCTCTCACCCAAAGGGCTGTTATCACAATTCCCAGGAATCAGAAGATGACAAGGGAAGGGAATTTGAAAAAGAAGGGAGTCACCAAAACCACGAGGCAAGAACAGGCAGATGTTGTTAGACTCACAACAATCAAGCTACTGTAGAAGGCCCCAGACAGTCAGCATGACTCAGGAATAAGGAAAGTGTCCACTGTGCCCACACAGTTTTGCACAATGCAGAAAGGGTCCCATGACTCCTTTCCCATAAATCTGACCTTCATCCCTCCCACCCCCTGGCCAAACAAGAATTCATCTCAATGGTTTCAACCAAGAGAGGCTGGAAGAGGCAAGCCCATAAAATGGAATTGGTATCTTGGAATGGAAACCCGAGGGAGGAAAGGAGCAGTCACTCATCCCGTAAAAATCAAGGATGGAAGATGTCGGGGCTTTTGTTCACAGAGACGTTGGCTTTTGAGAAAGTTCCACGCACCATGCGGGGGCTGCAGGGTGTCTGTGATGAGAACTCTGTGAGCATACTTCTGCCCTTTTGAAAAATCTCTGAAAGTAGAATAAAGGACCAAACCTGATGGTCTCGCAGTATCTGAATTGCAAACCATGATGCCCAAAAGCAGAGAGAGAATTGGAAATTGTCTGCCATAGAGGCAGGGAGTGGAGTGGGGAGGGGGTGGTGGGAGGGATGCTGGGGGCATTGGTGGTGGAAAAAGTACACTGGGTGAAGGGATGGCTGTTTGATCACGGTAAGACTGAAACTCAATCATGAAAGCTTTGTAACTATTCCACGACGATTCAATTTAAAAAAAAAAAAAATCCGAGAGGGAAATGGAAAGATCGGTCCTGGATTGCCGCAGGCCTCTTCGCGTCCCTGCGGAGGCTTTCATGCACCTGTTGCTCTTGCAGCACCTGTTGGTTGCTTTTGCAGACAGAAAAAAAGTCTAGGGCGCACCTGCTACAGTCTGAGCACAAGAGCATCCCGCAAGAGAGCCCGGCTGAAGACCCGCCTCTCTCTTAACAACGGAAGCACCCTCGGCGGTAGATGCGAGGGCAGCTGCCTGATCTGCAGACTGACGTTCCCCGGATCTCTGACCCCCGTTTCTGGGGGGGAAGGGGGCGTCCCTCCCACGTCCGCTTTCCCGGTGGAGAGCAGAGCGCCAGCGCCCCAAGTGAGGATGCCCACCGCCGCCTTGCCATGCCTTCCACCTGCGCGCCAGCCACCCGGGGGCCCTCGGGAGCCTCGCCTACGACCCCGAAGGGGCTCCCCTTGGAAGTTTCCCCAGAGCCCGCGCCCCGTGCCCCGATCGCCGCCCGACGGCCGGTGCAGCCGCTCGTCCCCCAACCCCCCCCCCCCGCCCCCCGCGCACCCCGTGCACCGTCCCCGCTCCCAAGGGCGCTTGCTCACCCCGCCGCCGCTCACTGCACCGATGCCGTCGAACTCCCGGCCCAGCCCGTCGGAGTCGTCCAGCACGTAGGCGCGGCTGGGCGCCAGCAGCGCGCACAGCAGCAGGGGCACAGCCGAGCCCGCGGCGGCCGTCATGCCGCTGCCTCGGCGCCGCGGCGGGGCCCGGAGCCGGCGCTCAGCCGCGGGGAGGGTCACGTGACTCCGGCGCCGGGGGAGGCGGGGCCGGCCGCCACCTGGACGGAGAAGGGCAGGAGGCCGCTGACGCCGCCGCCGCCATGTTGAGTACGGGCGACAGGTCGCCTGCACAGCCCCGTCGGGTGGAGGCCGGGCAGAGCGAGCCGTTAGGGGCGCCCCCGAGTCGGGCGGGCCCTCGGGGCCGAGGCGTCGCTTCGCGGCTTCTCCTCCGGCCTCGCCTGCCGGAGCTCTGGCGCGAAGGGGAGGCCTGGACCTTCCGACGGGTGCCAGGGGCAGCGCGTGGCCTAGGGCTCCTCCGGGTGCATGGACCAGCGTGCCAGGCTTTGCCCCTGCACCGGCTCCCAATTCTGCTTGCACCTCCTGCCAGGGATCGGGCTCTCGGAGCCTGAGTTTTCTTTTACAAGCGATGAGTCCAGAAGAGCGGCCACGTGGAAGGACATAGGAATGACCCACAATTCAGGTCACGGGTGCTCAGGCTGAGCTGTGTGCCTGCCACACGTGACAAGCTCTAGCTGACCTGGCTCTCCATCCTGGTGACTGCTCGCGAGGTTTAGCATTAAACTCCCATCAACTACCTTCCTCCGCTGCCTCTTGAAAGGGTTCCAGGCAGAGAATTCTAAACTGGTGGGCCTGTGGAAGTCCTGGGATTTGACACATCCAGCGCTGCTCTGAGAATTCTGATTTCTTGGGTGTTGAAGCGAATGGAAGAAATTCTGAGAGGTGGTGAAGAAAGTATTTCTGATCCCAAAATCTCCCTTGGCAGAGCCAGCCATCCACTAGGCCCACTGCCATCCATCCACAAGGCCCAGAGACATCATAATGGCAAGCAGATGACCCAAAGGCTAATGTGAAAAGGTTATCTGAGCCTTTGTCTGTTGGGCCTCACTTGGGATCAGATTATTTTGCCTGTTCATCACAAACCTGAATTGTGGTTTCACAATAACTATTCTACATGGAGTGGTGCTCACTGTGATTCAATAAAAATAAATAAATACATACATATATACCTTTATAAATACATAAACAGCAGTCACTAAACTTGCTCTTTTTATTCCTTTTATTTTTAAAATAATGTAGCAGTTCTGCTATTTGTTCAGCCATTGATTAAGCTGATTGAATTGGGCATGAACTCCACATTACTTTTTTTTTTCATTGTATCACCATGAGACAGAGTTACAAAGCCACAAAGCCTTCATGTTTGAGATTCAGCCATACAATGATGGAACACCCATCCCTCCACCAGTGCACATTTTCCACCACCCATATCCCAGTCCTCATCCTGCTTGTATGGCAGACAATTTCCCCAATACTCTCTAATTTTGGGCATTATGTTTTGCTCGAAATTTCCCACCACCATTCAAGCTTACCTGCCAGGGGCAGATGCTAGATAATTTATTTTCCACTGCTCATTTTGAATATCATGAGAGCTCGCATGACCGTGATTGTAAATGTAAATTTCTAGATTGTAAATGATTGGGTTCTAGAGACATCTCTGTATGGCACTAATCCATTTTGGGATTCAGCTGGGAGTCTCTGGGCCAGGGCTGTTGGTGCACTAAGATGGCATCCAGAGACAAATTGTGGGAGTGACAGCCAGTTTACCTGAATCCGCATGTGGGGAGGGGGGAGAGGGCTTTGCTTATGTAAGCTCTTGGTCACCGGGATTCCATCTGGAGTAGGCGGGGAGATTGCACCTGCTCCATCTGGGGTGCCCTGGTGAAATTGGCTCAGTATGGGGCCTGGAGAGATCTCTGGTGCTGTGGTGTCTTCGGCGACTTGCTGCTGTGCCTCTGGGTCAGGGCTGTTGGTGCACTAAGATGGTGCCTGGAGGAAAATTGTGGGCATGACAGCCAGTCTGTTGGGTGGGCAGGGACCTGGGAAGGGACTGCCAGGGTCCTCGGTTGCCATGCGGCCTGCAGATTCAGTCCTGGAACCTGCATACCTGGGCATTGCTTGTTTTTCCCTTCTTCTTAAAGTGCATAGTTCTAGTCTGCTTTTCCAAGGACACTATCTACTGATGTCTATTGACCTAATAGTGGCCCTGTTGAAGGTGTAATAACTTTATGCATCTTAAACATAACAGTTAACATACTTGTAACCCCCGTTACTTAAACTACAAAAAAAATATTTAAACTAATAATTCTCTATTTACTTCCAAAAGTATTTTAATTGGCAAATTTTGTAGTTCCCTGTAATATAATCTGCTTGTTTCCTTCCATCTCTTCATTTCAGAGTCCAGCACATCCGAACTTCCCCTTCCCTATCACCGTTATTTTCTGATCAAAGTAACTGTCCAAGTTCCATTGCTTTGCCTTGCCAGAAGTCACTCTAATCCATCCATTCTAATACCATCGCTTAAACCTGGACTGAAGCACCTCTGGTTAAGTTTGGCCCCAGCCCTAAGACTTCGCAGTCAGAAATCTGCACAAAGCATTTTCATATTAATGTGGATGGAACTAAGAGCAGAGGAAAATATTATACACATAGAATGGGTTAGCAGAAACTCAGTTCAGCCTATAGCACTATGTTTGGAAAGCATACAGCTGATATTTGTGCAACGTGTGAAAGCCATAGAAGAGGAAATAGTATTTAACAGGAAAAGTGGCCTCGAGCCCAAGAGATACCACTATTTCCTGTTAGCTTACATGCACCAGAGAAAGTAAATCTATGTTCAAATTCTAAACCTACACTTAGGAAACCATATTCAATAAAGTTTCTAATAAAAAAGTCAAATACAAACTGAGAGTTTTTTGGACTGCTGCATGCAATTCACTCAGTAATTGACATAATAGTGTGGAAACAGACCAATATAAGTACTTTGGGAAGCAAAATCATATTTTTATTGTTACTAATTTTATTTTCTCCCTTTTGTGCTGAGTGATAAGAAGTATTGTAATTTGCAGTGTCAAAGTTTTTTTTTTTAAGTGCCTCTTGTGTGAATGGGGAGGGAAACAGTGGGTGGGGAGACCCTGGTGGAGGGAAGTGGACATTGGCAAAGGAATCAGTGTTAAAACATTGTGTTTCTGAAACCAAATCATTAATAACTTTGTAATTCACCATGAATTAATTTAAAAAATAAAAAAATAAAACATTGTGATTTATAATGTTAATGACAGCCCGGCAAGCTACCGAGAGTATTCGATATGCCAGACACAGTAACAACAAAGTCTCCAATGGAGACGTTACTGGGCCCGCTCGAGCAAATCGAGTCTCCTGCCCCCGCACTTTGCTGTCCTCACCAGGGCCCCTTGGAGGGGGGAGGGTTGAGTTTCTCTCCCCCTGCCCCGCCCTGAGCAGAGCCCTAGCAACTGAGGACCTCCAGAGCCAGCCACGGCCATGCTGGGACCACACTCCACACGTCTGGATGGGCCTCATGCATGAAAGAGCTGGCAGAGGAACCCAGGTATGCGGGTCCTGGGGCTGAGGTCTCCAAGCCTACTCGGATTGGGACTGGGCTTTCTCCACCCAGATCCCCCCGCCCCATCTTCCAGTAGGTAGGCGTCACACCCACCAGCTGCTGCCAGCGCCAGGTTGGTCCAATCAATGGCCAAGACGCAGAAACTATAAAACCCAGCTCCTGGAAGTGCGCGGCCGCATTTGAGGCCGTGCAACATCTTATTTTTTTCTTTGGAGAACCTGGCAGGCTACCAAAAGTATCCTGCCTGCACAGCAGAGTCTGGCAAACTTCCCGTGTCATACTCAATATGCCAAATACCAGTAACAATCATGGGTCTCATTCTCCTAATCCTGAAAAAGCATTAAAATGGCTCTTTTAAAATCTCAGGGCTAGGAAGAAGGAGACGTTACTGGTGCCTGCTCGAGGAAATCGACGAACAACAGGGTGATCGTGATCATGATCGTGATTAATTGATTGATTTTATGGAATCACTGAGATAGACCCTTACAGAGATGTTCATGATTAGGTTTCAGTCATACAGTGTTCCAACACCCATCCTTTCACCAGTGTATATTTCCCAGCACCAGTGTCCCCAACTTCCCTCCCATCACACCCCACCCCATCCCCAGCTGCCTCTAATAGTTCTCTCTCTGTGTTTCTGTCTCTCCCTCGCTGTTTCTCTCTCTTTCCCTCGCTGTTTCTCTCTCTTTCCCTCGCTGTCTCTCTCTGTCTTTCTCTGTCTCTCTCTGTCTCTCTCTCTCTCTGTCTGTCTCTGTCTCTCTCCCCCACTTTTGGGCATTGTGATTTGCAATACCGACGCTGAAATACTGAAAAGTTGTCATGTATATCCCTTTACCTACTTTTAACTCTCAGTTCTTGTGCAGTGTGACCATTTCCAACTATAATTATATTTTCATGCATACACTGTTCAAACAGTACCACTACCAGAATACTTGCTTTCCTCGACCAATGTTTCAAATGGGATGTTTGGGATGGGATGTTCATCCCATCCCTTCCTCTTTCCTGCCCTCTCCCACCCCCAATCCTCAGGCAGGAAAATTCAGCTCTGTGAACCAACTCTCCAGTTTTGTGTCTTTGGACATTTGATGGCTCTCCTGATGCATATTTTTATATCCCACATATGAGAGAGATCATTCAGTATCTACTACTCAGCATGATACCCCCGGATTCCATCCACACAGCATGATTTCATATTTCTTGTAACTACATAGTATTTCACATCATCATGACCCATTCATTCATATTTGGGCTGTTTTCATATTCTGGCTATAGTACAAAGTATTTCAACTGACACTGGAGAAATAGTACAGTGGGTAAGGTGCTTGCACGAAACTCACCTAGGTTTGATTCCACAGCACCCCATATGGTCTCCCAAGCCCTACCAGGAGTGATCCATGAGCATGGAGTCAGAAGCAACCTGAGGATAGTGGGATCAAAAGGGAAAAAAATACAACCAATATGGCGTGCATATAATTCTTTAGAATTAATGTTTTCATTTTTGGGGGATAGATGACAAGTAGTATTGGATGAGAATTCTCTTATTACTTTTTGTATAATTCTCCATAA